CCTGGGGTTGCAGGTTTTGACCCCCAGCTTTTTTGGTTTCCATTTTTCCATCCCTTCACTTTCAGTCTGTATTCTTATATCCGAAATTAGCCTCTTGTCAGCGGCATACTCGTGGCTTTTGGTTTTTTATCTATTCAGTTATTCTTTTGTTGAATTTAGTCTGTTTTACAGTTAAAGTAATTATTGATAGCCCTGACCAGTTTGGCTCAGTGGATAGAGCATCGGCCTGTGGACTGAAAGGTCCCAGGTTCGATTCCGGTCAAGGGCATGTACCTTGGTTTCGGGCACATCCCCAGTGGGGGGTGTGTAGGAGGCAGCTGATCGATGTTTCTCTCTCATCGATGTTTCTAACTCTCTATCCCTCTCCCTTCCTCTCTGTAAAAGATCAATAAATTATATTTTTTTAAGTAATTATTGATAGGTATGTGCTTATTGCCATTTAATTGTTTTGTGGCTCTTGTTACTTCCTATGTTCCTTTCTTCTTCTCTTGCTCTCCTCTTACTAGTAGTTGTGGTTTGATGACTTTCTTTGGTGGCATGCTTGGGTCCCTTTCTCATTACCATTTGTGCATCTACTATAGGTGTTTGCTTTGTGGTTTACATGAGGCTTACATATAACAATCTATATTTATGTTTGTTTTAAGTTGGTAGCTTAAGTTTAAATACATTCTAAAGCTCTACATTTTTACTCTCTCCCCACTCGTGTTTTATGTTTTCAATGTAACATTTCACATCTTTTTATCTTTTGTATCCCTTAATTATTGTAGTGATAGTCATTTTTACTATTTTTGTCTTTTAACCTTCATAGTAGCTCGGTAAGTGATTAGTCCACTAATGTTACTATATATTTACTTACCTTTATGATTATACTTTCATGTTTTCTTGTTACTAATTGGCACCCTTTATTTCAGTTTAAAGAAGTCCCTTTAACTTTTTATAAGGCTGATCTAATCATGATGAAGACCTTTAGCTTTTTTTTTTTTTTTTTTTAAGCTGCCCTCTGTGAAAAGGAGTTCTAACTCATCTCCCAGCTCACTTCATCTCAAGCTTTTGCTTGTCTAGAAAAAACTCACTCCTTCGAGTCTGGATAATAACTTTACCAGGTGGAATATTCTTAGTGCTAAGTTTTTTTCTTTCAGCACTTTGTTAAAAATAAGCAAACACGTCTCTCAAAGTTTAGTTTTTTATTGAATGTGTTACAAAAGAAATTTAGTCAAAAGACCAGAGCCCGTGACATCATCAGACTCTGGATTCTTCTTTCTTTGCTTCCACTTTCTCCTCCTCAGCTGGGGCAGCAGTGGTGGAGGGGGCAGGATCTTCTGCTGGGGCAGGTCCATCTGCCCCTCATTGCAGATGAGATTCCCAGTGTTGACATTGGCCAGAGCCTTTGCAAACAAGCCTGGCCAGAAAGGTTCAACGTTTACTCCAGCTGCTTTGATGAGGGCATTGATCTTATCCTCCATCACTGGCTCCGCGTCGTCGTGCAGGAGAAGGGCCATCGTGCAGGATAGTGGCCGGGTAGATGCAGCTCCGAGATGGAGGCCTTGGTGTGGGCAGCTCCTGGGTGGGTGAGCGCTGCCGGGAGTGGTGCTAGTTGCCAGGTGAAGTGAGGGCGGGCCTCCTCCTCAGCTTCCTTGGAAGGACGGAGCACCTTACCAGCAGCTGGGGAAAGGGAGATATGTTTGTTATCTTGATTGTAGTGTTAGTTTTTCAGAGTATATCTATGTCTAAGTTCATCAAATTGTGTACTTTATGTGCAGTTAATGTCAGGTATACCTCAAAGCTGTTTTTAAATTTTTATTTTGGAGAATAAAAAGTTGTTAATATGCAAGAACTCAAGAATTATTGTTTTCATGAGCCCTTCTTGAGGCAACCAATCGATGTGTCTACTAGAAAATAAGCTTCAGACAACAAAAATGACTAGAAAGACATTTATACACGCATACCTCGTTTTATTGCACTTCACTGATGCTGTGCTTTTTACAAATTAAAGGCAAGACTCCACCAGCCAAAAGATTACAACTCACTTTATTTTGATACTTTATAGCAGTGGTCTGAACCACATCTGCAGTATCTCCAAGGTATGCATGTATAAATACACAGTTTATGGTAGAGAACTAGGAGTAAATGAGGGTTAGAAGGCAAAGTACAGGATGTATTGGCTACGTGCTCTGCTAAGGCAGATAGAGTACAACTGTTAAAGTGCTGTATCAGTGGTTAGAGTGTGGGTCCACACACTGAAGGGTTGCAGGTTTGATTCCCGGCCTCGGTTGGGGCGCTTGCAGGAGGCAACCAATCAGTGTTTCTCTCTCACATCGATGTTTCTCTCTGTCTCTCTCTCATTCTACCCCCCTCCCTTCCTTACAATCTTCCCTCCCTTTTAATCTCTCAAATGGAGGAAATATCCTCTGGTTAGATTTAACAAAAACAACAGTGTGGCACATGAGCAGCTAAAGATCCACATATTTTCATGTTGGTACCATTCACACACAAACACCTCCTCCCGACCCCCACAAAAAATAAAATGAAAACAGGGAGAGCCCAGTCAGCGTGGCTCAGTGGTTGAGCATCAGCCTATGAATCAGGAAGTCACTGTTCAATCCCCAGTCAGGGCACATGCCCGGGTTGCAGGCTCGATCCCCGGTGTGGGGCGTGCAGGAGGAAGCTGATCAATGATTTTCTCTCATCATTGATGTTTCTCTCTCCCTCCCTTCTTCTCTGAAATCAATAAGGACATATTTTTTTTAAAAAAAGAACTAGAGGAGAATAGGAAGGACATTGCATACACTTTATTAAAGATTTTAGTAATCATATTGGCAATATTATTATAAGATAAATAATTATGTGGCAGAGAGCATCCCTAGCACCAGATTATGGTCTTGAATACAGCTTCTCACTAAAGGAAACCAGAACTCTTGAGGAAATGGCAATTCCAGATCTGAAGTAGGAAATGTACAAGATGAGCTTGTACGTCTTGTCATACCAGATTGAAAAGAAATAAAGTCATATTTTGACATACTAGGATTATGTCAAAGGAGCCAACTTGGACAGGTTCACGGTGCCAAAGATGGGCAATACGAGTGTCAAAAATGAGAATAATTGCAATGAACTGAACCTACCACATATGCCTAAATCCATGAGTTCATACATTGAAGAGAGAATCAGGCATCTTTGGAGAAAGTTAGGGAACCAATTCTGAAAGAATCAAGCATATTCTGCCTTTCCTATCTGATCTGTACCACTGGGCAACCAAATATTAAGAGGGGAATTGTCCCTATTTAGGGTATCCCATGTAATAAATGACAAAGAAATGAATTACAGTATCACCATTTTGTAACTCTCGGTGAATTAAGAGAGGCATAAATTACTGACAGGTTCTAACAAAATAGAGAGAGACAATGTCACATAATGTGCCTGCTGATGAAAGAATACACCACCACATGTTGTCTTGGCAAAGGGGTCAAACCTGAGTCTGATCCCGTACTGGATCCAGCTCACAATGTAGGAATTCAGAGGAACTTGTTGAACTGAGTATGCAACAGCAAAACCCAGCCTGAGAAACTACAGATCAGATGACACTGATTCTTCAACAGAAAAATTACAAAGAATAAAAGGATCAGAGGAGGAAGCTATAAATTAAGAGATGTGAAAAACAGTAATAAACAAAAAAAAAATTAAACAGCAAGACTAAACTTTAGTGTCAGGATGCACATTTGGGTAACAAAACTAAAACAAATAGATTATAAGTCAGGATAATGGGTACTTATGGGGTGAGAGGGGCTGTGATTCAAGTAGGACATAATGACAGGGCTTCCGGGGTAAATTGCAGTCTTATTTCTTAACTTGGTGATGGTTACAAGAGTGCTTCAGAGTAATTCACGAAGCTGTATATTTACTATGTATGGTTTTCTGAATCTGCCCTCCTTTCATATGTTTGAAAAATGTTCTGTTTCTTAAATTCCTGAGAGTCCCTAATTCTCACTTTAAATGCATACTGCTGAAAAATATACACCCTGGTAGGAATCCTTAATGGAGAATTATGAGTGGCTAATCCTTAGTTCATCAAAACAGCTGTCCTACCTAAGCCAGACCTGAGGACTAGAGGGGAATGAGCAACAGCCTTGGCTCTGCCAAAGCGTGTTCTGTTGCCAGGCAAAAGGGCCAAGTCACAAGTCCCCCTCCTTACAGATCGGCTGCAATGCCGTCAGCTGGGCCCCTGCTGTTGTACCTGGAAGCCTCATAGACCAGCCATCAGGACAGAAGCCCAACTACATCAAGAAATTTGCCTCAGGCGGCTGTGACAACCTCATCAAGCTGTGGAAGTAAGTGGGGTTCGTGGACTTCTCAAGGGGACAGCCTTCTACTCTACCTCCCATGACAGCCACAGTTCACAAAAAAACAGGATCATCTTTTTTCCTCTTGCCCATAGAATACTGTTTTCAATGTCAGAGGACATCCTTTAAAAAACACACAACTTGCTGTTAGCTGAAGCAGTTTCATTCACTCTTTCCCTAATTCCTAATTGCTAGAGCTGACTTGGCTATGGAAAAGCAGTGCATTATAGCTGGTGAATTGGATAAAACTCTGCAGACTCAACAAACGAAATCAGAAAGATGGAATAGTTTCTCAGCCCCTGTGGAGCTTACAATGTGGAGAAGGAATGTGATCCACATGCACAATAGAGGTGTGGGAAAGCTCCTGGGCTGCTACCCGATTCTCTTCTGATCTCCCCTTTAGGGAGGAAGAGGATGGCCAGTGGAAGGAGGAACAGAAGCTGGAAGCACACAGTGACTGGGTTCGAGACGTGGCCTGGGCCCCTTCCATTGGTCTACCCACCAGCACCATCGCCAGTTGTTCCCAGGTCAGCTCAGACCCCTGAGGGCATCCTGTGTTATTTAATCTCTGAGTGAGTCCCATCAGCCCTTACAGTCCCCTTAGGGGAGTCCTTGAAAGGTAAGAGCAGGGCAACAAGTACCTTTGGGCCCGTGCAGATAGCAGAGTGGTGGAGCAGGTCGTCACGCAGTGAACTCTTGATATGAGGCCACAAGTGGCTTGCCTCCACTGAGCCAAGAGCAGGACCAGCTTCCCCTGCTGAAGCTTGTGTGAGTAGAGAATGGAAGTGCTCAGGTACAGTTCTGAGAGAGTGTTCCCAAACAAGTGTTCCCAAACTTAAGGATGTTAAGTTTAAATAAGGATGGGAAAGTCTGAAGACCTGGGCTCACCTACTACCCACTCTTCCCAGGCAGATCATGAAAGTAAGACCAAGGACAAGCCTTTAATTATGGGCTACCCAACACCCCAGGCCAGAATTAAGCCAGGCCTTTTATATATATCATTTGTGCCTGTTTTGTTTGGTCCTATTTTTGAGAGGTTTTTTGTTTTTCTCCCTTCTCATTCTCTGAACTTGGTTTTCAGGCAGCCAGACCCATTCAGTTGAGAAAGTATAGACAGAGCAGAGGGAACTGAAACAAGAAAGTGACTTTGAAGACATGAAAACTGCCCCCATCTCCTGACTCCTGTCTTCCCAGGATGGTCGTGTGTTCATTTGGACCTGTGACGATGCCTCAAGCAATACGTGGTCTCCCAAACTACTGCACAAGTTCAATGATGTTGTGTGGCACGTGAGTTGGTCCATCACAGCCAACATTCTGGCCGTCTCGGGTGGAGATAATAAGGTACACAGCATTTCTATGACCTGGGGGACAGGGCCCCATTTGTCTTTGCCCACTGGAAAATGCAGTTAATGAGGCCTGCATTTTGAGCATGTGTCCTAATTATATCCTTAAATCTTACTGCCCTTTAAGTTTAAATAAGGATGTTAACTTCTGCATATTTTATTACTGTTTGAGTTAATTCCAATTTTCTTGAAATTTAAAGATATTTCTAGCCCACTGGTGTGGCTCGGTGGTTTAGCATTGACTTATGAACCAGGAGGTCACGGTTCGATTGCCCGTCAGAGCACATGCCCAGTTTGTGGGCTCAATCCCCCAGTGTGGGACGTGCAGGAGGCAGCCAATCAATGATTCTATCTCATCATGAATTATCCCTTTGTCCAACGTATCTATGTCATAGTGACTATTGCGATAGCACAGTGCTTATGTTCAGGTAACCCTTTTTGTACTTAATGGCCCCAAAGCACAAGAGTAGTGATGCTGGCAATTCAGTTATGCCAAAGAGAAGCCATAACGTGCTTCCTTTAAATAAAGGAAGAGTGTAGTACAGTAAGATAACTTTGAAAAAGAGACCATATTACATAACTTTTATTATAGTATATTGTTTACAATTGTTCTATTTTGCGTAGGTATAATGTATAGGGTTCAGTACTACTATCCACGTTTCAGGCATCTACTAGGGGAGTCATGGAACATATCCCTTATGGATGGGGGGCTACTATATTGGTGGTGTGTTTTTTTTTTGGGGGGGGGGTTCATTAGGTCCCATAATTCCTGTAGGTTTTCTATACTCTTCTTCATTCTTTTTTCTTGTTCTTATGACTGGATACTTTCAAATGTCCTATCTTCCAGATCATAGTTCTTTCTTGTATACTGTTGAGGCTGCTTTTGAATTCTTAAGTTTGGTTTCTGAATTTTTAAGTTCTAGGATTTGAGTTTTTATTTTTTGATGGTTTCTATTGCTTTGCCAAAGTTCGTGTTATTCATGCATTGTTTTAACTAATCTCATTTATCCTTGTAGTTCACTAAACTTCAAAAGGATTACTCTGAATTCTTTATCTGATAGTTCATAGATCTCCATTTCTTTAGTGTCAGGTACTAGAACTTGATTAGTTTCCTTTGGTGGTGTCATATTTACCTGGTTTTTCATGATCCTTGGTACCTGCACACTGGAGTGTGGTCTCCTCTTCCAGGCTTTACAGGTTCCGTTTGGTTTTCTGGACGTGTCTGTTAGTAATATCTTTGGACAGATGGGGTCCTAATAGCAAAGATAGACCCTTTGCTGTTAGGATATATCTTTGGGTGAGGCAGCTGTTTGAACGCTGAGGTAGGGGATGCGGGGTGTGCTATTGGCTGAGAACAGCTAGATACAATTGCTGGCTTGGTTTCCTGCCCACGTGAGTCTATAGAATGAACTTCACGGTTGCCTGGTCAGACTTACTGCATGGTCAGGACTGAGTATTCTACTCAGCAGTAGGTGGGGCTGTGAATTAGCTTCCCTGCTTTGGTGGGACAGCACCCAGAGCTCATTTGGGGACCCCAATCAGGCAAGAGTGCACTGAATATCGTGGTCAGGTGAGGTCACTTGTTTTGCTCTGGAGACAGGAACAGCCATAGTCGGTGCTTTCTGTTCCAGTGCCCCTAGAAGCAGGGATGTTTGATGGGACCCACCGCTTCACATGTGCTCTGGGAAGGGTGCCTGGTCTGAAGGCTGTTTTCAGCAGGAAGTGTGGTTACAAATTCGTTTCTTTCCTGGGCTCAGCAGGAAAAGCAGCTCTAAGGCCACTAATGTTCTTTAGGGCTTTGACTCAAGCCAGTCCATGCCCCAACGGATGACATGGCCGAACGGGGCCACTGGCTTTGCTCTGGAGGTAATCAGCTCTGCCTGCCTGCCTTCCTCTCAGCTGTACAGTTGGTGGGACGTGTGGATTCGAGGTGTTCTTGCCGGCTCTTCCTGCAGCAGGTAGGGCTGTGACTTAGAAAAGTAGGCAGAACTCTGGTTTGGGGACCTGAATGAGGCGATCTGCACTCACCAAGTTCCCTGGTCAGACTGTTCCCTGGGACTAGCTGGATTCTGCAGGTAGGAACTAGGTCTGCGAAGATCTGAGTGCTGGTTGTTGGAAGCCCCTCTGTGGTGCTGGATGGATGTCATCCTAGTGCTCTCCTCCCTCCGGAAGAACTGCACCTGCCTGGGGGAGAGGTGCAGTTAGCATGGAGCCATCCCTCTTACCTTTCTAATGCAGTCCAGCCTGGTCTCTAGTGCGGGGGTGTCAGCCTCACTCCCTCCCCTGTTCTAGGACTCTCTTAGTGGTGTCTTGTCCATGAATAGTTGTTCTTTTAAGGGGGAGTGAAATTTGGAACTACTCATGTCACCTCCTTTGTGTAGATTTTTCTTCTGTTTTGATGGGATTTCAGTGAGGAAACCAAGATTAGTCCTCTGTTTTCCCACATGGCTGTGAGCCATGGTTCTTCGGGAATTTGGGCAATCATTCAGGGATCCAGTGAGATGAGAGCAGAGGGAAGGGTGCTGACCTGTGTGTGTGCTGGCTTGCAGGTGACCCTGTGGAAGGAGTCAGTCGACGGGCAGTGGGTGTGCATCAGTGACGTCAACAAGGGCCAGGGTTCCGTGTCTGCTTCCGTCACAGAGGGCCAGCAGAACGAGCAGTGACAAGACTGGCGGGGCCCAGCTCCCCACCTGCCAATTCCTGGACCAACTGACCAAACAGCGGCAAGGAAGCGCTCCAACAAGATGACTTTCCCAGGAATAGTTAAAACTGCAACGAGATTGATCATCTGCCTTAACATGATTTGATATGGTTTGTAATTTACAAAGCACTCATTATGAGGGAGAAACTACAAATGATCTATTATTTAAAAATATTTTTTGGCCATTTTTATGTACCTTTTGGGTTCAGGCATTATTTGGGAGTTTTTGTTTCCAAAGTAATTAAACATGATGTTTATAATTCTACATTAATTATCCTCCCTAAAAAAGTTCATTTTGACTCTTGTTGGTCAACATGAACCAAGTCCCTGCTGGTCTGTCACAGTGTGAGCATCCTGGTGATTGAGTTTATACAGAAGGTACCATGTACAAAGCACTGTAAAAGGAGTGCTGGACTTGGTCTTCAGTTACGGGGACTGTAACCCTGGCTCTGCATGCATATCCTCTTCTGTAGAATGAGACTAATAAAGTCTGCTCTACAGAATGGTTGCAAGACTCAAATGAGCTAATACATGTGGGTGATCCACAAAATGCCATGTAAATGCAGGACAGTACTAACCAAATATCAATATAGTTAAGAGACTGGCCGGAAGGGAGGGCACCATTCGTTCAGTTTATTGACCCTGTCAGTGACAGGAGGGGCCTGTGATGGAGACCATGGTTCTGGTCTAAATTGACCCTGAGCCAACTATCACCTCTCAGCAGAGGCCCTGGGACCCTCGCCTGAATCATCAGTCACAACAATAGCTACCATTTCCTGAGACCTGCTGTGAGCTGGCAGTGCATTTGGGTCTTTCACACATTAAGCAGCACAACAAACTATAAGCATATACCCCCAATTTACTGAGAAACTAGCACAGAACTGACCACTGCCAAGTAGGTAAAGCCAGTACTCTCAATGTAGAATGCGGGGGCTCCTCAGCTGTTATCTAGGAGTGGATCACAGTAGTTTGATACGAATGCTCTTAGACAAAAGGTCAAGCCACTCACCTCAGGAGGCTGTGTGCACAGGTAAGTGTGGGTCCCCATTCTTCTGTTTCTCATCCTTCGTTTGTTTTTCTGCAGCAAAACCCCTGTTTTGAAATAAATGTTAGATTGTAATATATAAAATGGGAAGCAGTGAAACTATGTTGATTGAAGTGAGGATAGAGAGGCCATGGCCCAGCCCACCCAGACTTCCAGGTCCTTTGGTAAAATCCAAGCCTTTGAAGAACAATATGAAAACTGCAGGTGATTTCTTTGTGTTTTTTTCTTTCCTGTTAGAGAAAAGAAAGACCCAAGAAGGCACCTTTGCATACTTTTCTCAGTGGACACAGACTACACTGAATTCTAGTTAGCTTTACATACATGTCTGCCTTCCCTAACAAAACTCTGTGCTCCCCAGGGACAAGTCTAGTCTTCCTGATGGTGCCAGGTACTGTCAACAAATGAATGAGAAGGGACTAGTTCCGTGTCACACACTGGGTTAGTAATAGGTCAGTGGTGTCCTGGCCATGTGCTCTGTGTGTAATTTACACCAGGGAGGATCAGTTTAGATAATCTGGAGGTATATAAAATTATCACTTTCAACAGTTTATGCTTAGAGTAGTAACAGATTCACCATTTGGGGCTAAGAAAAATCCCCCAAATTTTTTGACCATAAACTAAGCTAATTAAGTGGAAATGCTATGTTAACCTTCCAGGACAGTTAACACCCAAATGAGATGAATAAAATGATAATTTAAAAGGTATAGAGAGTGCTTGACAAGGCAAAAAGGCAGTAGCAGCCATCGGTTTTTAATCCTTTCACAAAAACAAAGCAACTAGTGTGGCAAAAGAAACCCCCAGACAACATTAAGGTAGTCCCTCAAACCACTGAATCTGGAAGAGTAGGGCCACACCATTCATAGCCATAATACTTGTGTGGGATCTACATAGGGGGTGCGGGGGGGGGGGGGGGGGGTTCTTATGATCTATTGAGCCCAGGTAGCCCCAAAATTACCATCAAATAATTATCCATTCTGAATAGAAAACAGCAAGTCAATGAGAACAATTGTCAAAACTAGAAATTTCACAGGCTTTCGTTATGAGTTCTACAGGAGAGGTCTCCACTTGCGCACATGAAGGATTAACGGCTGTGATGTTCATCACACTGTAAACAACTAGTACATATGACAACAGGCAGTACCAAGGAGAACAAAAACAAGTGAGGGGAACACAATTATCCCAGCCTACTTGCCAGGCCAAAGGACAGGGAGACAGAATCCAATGGTCTCACTGAGTTGAAGAGACAGATCAGAGTTCAGGAAAGCTAAGCCACAACATAGGGGGCAGAATACTAAAAAGGAGACAGCAAGCTCCTGAGATCTGCAAAAGGGGTTCTTAGAATCTTTGACCAAGTGTTAATCTGCATATATCATCATGACTGGAAAGCAATAGACCAAACAATTCCTGGAAATTCACAGCAGTTCATTTTCCCAATAACTAGAGTGCAAAAACTTCATAAACTTAAGACATTGGGTACTAAGGAAGATGCATACCTTAACAGTAAATCTTAATTTAGGCCTAGAGGAAAGGTTGCTCTGGATCTTAAAGTAAGTTTTGAAAAGATCAAACTGATCCAGCAATAATTTCACTTAGTGCCAGATCAAAGCCCAACACTCTTTAAAGGAAAAACAAAATTTACAAAGTCTAGCAGCCAATCCAAAATTACCAGCATGCAAAGAAGCAGGAAAATATTGCCCATAACCAGGAGAGGAGAAAAGAAACCTGACAGTCACAGAAATGAGACCATGTAACTAGCAGAGTAGTACCTTAAAACACTATTATAAATATATTAAAGAACGTAAAGGAAAAGGAACATAAAAATGGAAGATAAAAAAATGTTGCCAACAATTCCTAGAAATGAAAAAGTCAGTATCTAAAGTGAAAACATACTGGATGGGAGTAAGAGCAGATTAAACACTACAGTGAGAAAGGTAACACTAAGTCTGAAGAGAGCAATAGAAACTATACAAATTAGTGCAGAGAAAAAGGAACTCAAAAGATGAACCAAGCAACTGTGGGACAGTATTAAGAGGTCTGAAATGTGTAAAGTGGAGTCCCAAGGAGAAAACAAGTTTAAGGGGGGGTAGGGGAAAAAAGATATTTGAAGAGCCTGGCCAGCAGGAATCAGTGGTTGAGCATCGACCTATAAACCAGGAGGTCATGGGTCAATTCCCAGTCAGGGCACATGCCCGGGGTGCAGGAGGCAGCCGACCAATGATGCTCATCATTGATGTTTCTCTCTTCCTTCCTCTCTGAAATCAAAAATATATTTTAAAATATCTATATATTTGAAGAAAGTCAGACTTTTTCAAATTGGGAAATTATAACCCTACAGATCCAAGAAAATTGGAGACACAAGTAGAAGAATCAATAAACACATACATACCCCATAATAAAATTGCTGAAACTTTAAATTATACACGCAGCCAGAGAAAAAGACCTATTACATAGAGAGAGGAACAAGTACAGTCGGCCCTCCATATCCGCAGGTTTTGCATCTGGGAATTTATCCAACCACAGATGGAAAATATTCAGAAAAAAATTCCAGAAAATTCCAAAAAGCAAAACTTGAATTTGCCACATACCAAACTATGAAAAGCAGTTTGGAGGTCCCTTAAAAATTAATACTAGCCCAAGCCAGTTTGGCTCAGTGGATAGAGCATTGGCCTGCAGACAGAAGGGTCCCAGGTTCGATTCTGGTCAAGGACACATGCCCGGGTTGTGGGCTCAATCCCCAGTAGGGGGCATGCAGGAGGCAGCCAATCAATGATTCTCTCTCATTGATGTTTCTATCTCTCCCTCTCCATCTCTGAAATCAATAAAAATATTTTTAAAAAAATTTTTTTAATTAAAATATCATATGACTCAGCAATTTCTTTTCTGGGTATTTATACAAAGAATATGAAAACATTTAAAAAGCTATATGAACCCCTATGTTCATTGCAACATTATTTACAATAGCCAAGATATGGAAACAACGTTAGCATTCATCAATGCATGAATGGATAAGATGTGCAATATATAGATATAATGAAATACTACCATGACATTAAAAAAAGTTGAAATATTGCCACTTGTAACAGAATAGGTGGATTTGGAGGGTATTATGTTAAGCAAAATTAAGTCCGATGGAAAAGGACAAAAATCGTATGATTTACTCATCTGTAGAATACAAAACAAAAAAGGAACAAGTGAACTAACAAAACAAACTCATAGGTACAACAAAATGGTGGCACCAAAAAGGAAGGGGATGGAAGAGGGCAAAATGGGTAAAGGGGTCAAATATATGCTAATGAATAGAAACTAAACTTTTAGAGATGAGAACACAATAGGGTACACAAATAAATCATAATATTGCACACCTGAAATTTATAGGATGTTAACCAGTTACAATAAAAATTAATTTAAAATATAATGGTGCTAATTTAGTAAGTAATAAATTTTAAAGATAAATAAAATTAAAAGGCGAAATACAGGCTTTAAAAAAGAAAATCTGAAAGAATGAATCACCAGCAGAGCTGTATTACAAGAAATGTAAGGAAGTTCTTCAGGCACAAGAAAAATACTACCAATGAAAATCTGGATCTACACAAAGAAATGAGCACCAGAAATAGTAAATATCTGAGTAAATATAAGACTTTAATTTCTTTAATCTCTCTAAACATATTGACTAAAGTACATTGTGGGCTTATAGCTTATGTAAAAATAAAATATGTAACAACAGTAGCACAAATAATGGAAAAGGGAAATGAAAGTAGCCTATTGTAAGGGTCTAGTATACCTGAAGGGGTGTCATATTTGAAGACATACAGTAATATGTTGAAGGTGTATTTGTAAATCCTAGGTAAACCACTAAAATAATAAAACAGAGGGTAGCTAACAACTTAATAGTGAAGGTAACATATCATAAAAATACTCAATCCAAAAGTGGGCATGAAAAAGAGAAAAATGTGAACAAAAACAGATGGGACAAATGAAAAACAAATACCCATGTTGCAGATTTAAACCAAAGAATATAGGTCATTACAATAAATAAAAAGCCCCTGGTAGAACTATCGGAATAGATTTTTTTAAAGACCCACTATATACTGTTTATATGAAACCCACTTTAAGCCTAAACACACAGATAAATTAAAACAACAGGAATGACTTTTAAAAATATATAACCACCACCCTAGCTTGTTTGGCTCAGTGGATAGAGCATTGCCTGCGGACTGAAGTATCCCAGGTTCGATTCCAGTCAAGGGCACATGCCCGGGTTGTGGGCTGGATCCCCAGTAGGAGGTGTGCAGGAGGCAGCGGATCAATGGTTCTCTCTCATCATTGATGTTTCTATCTCTCTCCTTTCCCTTCCTCTCTGAAATCAATAAAAATGTTATCTATTCTAATAAAAGCCTATGTGGTCATCACGCCGTAACAACGCATCTCCAGCAGCCTGCGTGCGCAGCAGGTGCACGTGGGTGGGCGGGGCTGCATGTGTGGCGAGGCACGCATGGGTGGGCGGGGACTTGACGCTGCGTGCACAGCTCCACGCAGAGCCGGGTCCTGGCGCGTCCACATGGCGAGGCTGGAGGTCCCTGCGGCTCCACGCTGAGCCGCAAAGGCGGAACCCCCAGCTCCGGCCTACCTCTTTGGGGCAATCCATTGAGGAGCCCTCGATGGGTGGCGGGGTCTACCTCTTTGGGGAAATCGATCGCGGGGCTCCCACACTGTGAGAGGGCACAGGCCAGGCTGGGGAAACCCCCCCCACTGAGTGCATGAATTTCGTGCACCAGGCCTCTAGTGTGTGTGTGTGTGTGTGTGTGTGTGTGTGTGTACTAATCAGAAGGTAGCTGAAGTGTCTATACAAGTTTCCCCCAATATCTGAAAGTAGAGCATTCCTGTGAAACTTCACAAGCCAAAATGGCATAAAGCAAAGAAGCAATTACCATTATTTTATATGGAAAAAATGTTGAGCACTCCCAGACCCAAAAGTAACCTACCAAATAACATGTAAAACTTAAAATAACACTACATATAGTAAAAGCAGGAATTATATGATAACATACCATGCTTTAAACACCCATCAATCCACTCAAGCAATAGACTCCATCTTATCCATTACTGGATGCCAACTTAAAGAGACTCCTTTACTACTAGCAGAACCAACAGTAACTTCAACAGCTTTCAAGATTCTGTGTGTAGCCGAAACCGGTTTGGCTCAGTGGATAGAGCGTCGGCCTGCGGACTAAAAGGTCCCAGGTTCGATTTCGGTCAAGGGCGTGTACTTGGGTTGCGGGCACATCCCCAGTAGGAGATGTGCAGGAGGCAGCTGATCGATATAGACTCCATCTTATCCATTACTGGATGCGAACTTAACCTTCCTCTCTGTAAAAAATCAATAAAATACATTTAAAAAAAAAAAGATTCTGTGTGTAAATAGTACAAATGGTGGGCTCAGGAAAGTTCAACACTCATACAATATATTTCATTCACCACAATCAAAATACTTATGTACAGTTTTACACTAAACATGACACCCATATACGCGCTCTCTCAGATTTTTCTGATACCTTGGGACACATATTGCTAATGGATACACAAAAGAAACCGAGATAAAGCACAGACACTCACAGACACAGCTCGAAGCTCTGGTGCCTGGTGCTGAGATGCTGGGTGTCGGTCCTGGGGAGGGAGTTTGGTGGTGCCACTCTTGCTGCTCCGAGTGCACGCTGCCTCTATGATGGCTTGCTGCAAAATAAACAGTGAACACACTTTTTGCTTTTTGACGTTTTCATAAAAATGAAAATCCTCTTCAGATTTCTTTCATTTGGTAAAAACAGATAATGTAGGTCTTTCATAAAAACGAAGCAGCATAACATGAACTTCCAAAGAGCAGGAGATACCTGTATTAATATAAGATAAAAGGACTTCAGAACAAGAAATATCAGGGATAAAGAGTAACATTAAAAAAAGGAACATGAATTCATCAAGATTACATAACAATCCTAAATGTGTATGCACCTAAAATAGAGCTTCAAAATATGTGAAACAAAAACTGACAGAACTGAAGAGAAATAATCCAGTTACAGCTGGAGATCTCAGCACTCCTCTTTCAGTAACAGAACAAGTAGATCCCGCAAAATCAGTAAGTTTATAGAACATAAAAAACCTATCACTCAATGACGTAACTGGCATTTATAGAACATTCTACCCAGTGGCACTTAAATGCATTCTTTTCAAGTGCATCTGGAATAATCATCAAGACAGACTAATTTCTGGACCCTAAAACGAACTTTAACAAATCTAAAGAGAACTGAAATCATATAAAACATATTATCTGACTATAATGAAAGTTAATTAGAAATCAATAATAGAAATACATTTGGAAAATCTTCAAATATTTGGAAATTTAAGCAATACACATAGAGATAATTCATAGGCCAAAGGAAAAAATCACAATAAAAATAGTTACCTTTAGCCCTAGCCGGTTGCCCAGTGGTTACAGCATTGGCCCTCAGACTGAAGGGTCACAGTTCTATTCTGGTCAAGGGCACAAATGTCCTTTGCAAGCTCGATCCTCAGCCAGGGTCCGGGAGTGTGCAGGAGGCAACCAATCAATGTGTCTCACATCAATGTTTCTTTCTGTCTCTCCCCTTTGCTTCCACTCTCTCTAAAAATCAATGGGAAAAAAATATTCTCGGGTGAGGATTAAAAAAATAAAAAATCTACCCAGCTGGTGTCGCTCAGTGGTTGAGCATCAACCCAGGAACCAAGAGGCAACCAGTTAGAATCCTGGTCAGGGCATATGTGGGCTTGATCTGCTCATGGGGGGCATGCAGAAGGGAGCCGATCGATGATGTTTCTCTCTCATCAATGTTTCTATGTCCCTTCCTCTTTCTCTAAAAATCAATTTAAAAAAATATTTTCAAAAAATAAAAAATCCACCCGGCTGGCATGGCTCAGTGGTTGAGCATTGACCTGTGAACTCAAGGGTCCCGGGTTCAATTCCCGGTCAGGGCTCATGCCCGGGTTGCGGGCTCGATCCCCAGTGGGGGGCATGCAGGAGGCAGCTGATCCTTGATTCTCTCTCATGGATGTTTCTTTCTCTCTTCTCTTCTCTTCTCTTCTCTTCTCTCCTCTCCTCTCTCTCTCTCCCATCCTCTCTCTCTAAACAAATCAATTAAAAAAAATTTTTTTAATAAAAAAATAAAAAGACCCTGAGTTTATGATAGAAATAAAATTTTGGAGGTAGCTAGGACACCAAATGTACTTTGAAAATTAGTAAACAAATAGAAAAAAAATCATGTATTTTGCCTTTCCTGTATAAACTATATTAAGGAACAATTTTAAAAATCACCATTTGTAATTCCTAATAAATGATGGATGTAGACAATTATCAATAGAAGATAAATCCATTAAGTGAAAAGTTAACAGGGAACTTTAAAATAGGAACATTTAACAACACTTGAATTCATGGATAAATCTTATTCTTAAAACTTCAGTAAAAGTGGAGGCTTCCAGATATGTATGCCTGTAATGGAATTCAATAATAAGGACACAATCCCACAATGAAGTATTCTCCCCCAAAAGTACAAGTTAAATCCTAATGAAACTTCATCTGAAGATATAACTACCAGTTTACAGAAAGCAGGGGAGAGAGAAACAAGTTAAGTAATACCACAGGAAGCGATCAGCAAAGTCCAGAAGGTGGGAAATTGTACAGGACAAATAACCTGTTTTTGTTTTTTTAATAAATGGCGTGGACCCTGCTGGTGTGGCTCCGTTGGTTGAGCATAGTCCTGTGCACCCGAGTCACAGGCTTGATTCATGGTCAGGGCACTGCTTGATCCCCAGTGCGGGGCATGCAGGAGGCAGCCAATCGATGTTTCTTTCTCCCTCTCCCACTCTAAAATCAATTTAAAAAAATATATTTTTTTAAATATAATAAATGCCTTGGGATGAAAGAGAGGAGGAACAGGTAAGGGAGACTGTTGTAGACTAAGAGAGACTTAAGACATACATCAACCAAATGTGGGTTTTGTTTGGATCCTGATTCAAATAAGGCAACTATGTATTTTACCTGTTAAAGATATATACCTAAGTTTTTAAGACTGAAATTACACAATTACTAGGATTTGCTTTTACATTATTCCCCAAAAAAGACAAAAACAATGTGGGGTTTAAATAGAAGAAGCAAGATGTTAATAAATGTTGAAGTTGATGGTAGATGCTTGGAGACTCATTATATTACTCTACCTTTTTTTTTCATGTTTGAAATTTTCCAAAGTAAGTTAAAATATACATAGAGTTTATCTTCCACATGGCCAAATGTTCTGCTAGGATCAAGCATTATTTTATACTCAGAAATACTAGTACTTGTTAAAATATAGACCCTGGAACCCCCCCGCCCCCAAACATCTGGGTCAGAATCAGAAGATTAGGCATAAAATGATCTGCTTCCCCCATGAGGCCAGTGCAGCTCAGCTAGGTATGCACCCAGCAGTTGACACTGCATGGTCCCTAGGCTAAGGCTGCACCAGCAACTCTGGGTGATGAGAGTCAAGCTATAGGGCTTTGAGGGATCAGTGCACAGTAAGGAATAGGATGCAGAGAAAGGGAATTCTGCCTGAGTGTAGCATGAGAAAGGGGATGGGTGTAAACAGGCTTTTCCAGGATGAGAGACCTGGGCTGAGGGAAGAAGATACTCAAGAGAAAGACTAAAGATACGAAAGAGACAACTTGTTGGGGCTCCAGCCCCACGATGGCAGGAGAACAGGGAAGCCCCGCGGGAGAGGCTTGGTGTGGACAGCAGGGAGATGAAAGAGCGAGCATGGGTCCGGTTACGGAAGTGTGAAGAGTGGCACCATGAGTATCTAGAACTGTTGTCCCGAGCAGTAGCCATAAGCCACATGCAGCTACTGCACACTGAAACGTGGCTGGTCTGACTTGTGTGCTGTACCAATATGATGCACTGGACTTTGAAGATTTAGTAAAAAGAAAGCCAGGGTCCTAGCTGGTTTGGCTCAGTGGATAGAGCATCAGCCTTCGGACTGAAGGGTCCTGGGTTCGATTCCGGTCAAGGGCACGTGTCCGGGTTGCAGGCTCGATCCTCAGTAGGGGGCATGCAAGAGGCAGACAATCAATGATTCTCATCATTGATGTTTCTACCTCTCTCTTCCTCTCTGAAATCAATAAAAATATATTTTTTAAAAAAGAAAGCCAGGGTCAAATACCTCGTTGATTATTGTTATATTTATTACATGTTGAACCAATAATATTGGAATATTTAGAGTTAAAATATTATTAAAGTTTATTTTACCTGTTTCTCTGTTTTTTTAATGAGACTCCTGGGAAATTTAAAATTACATAGAAGCTCTTATTTGAGGCTGACATGATATTTCTATTGAACAATGCTGACCTAGAGGCTATGGGAACCAGAACTAGGAGGAAAAAGCCACCGAAAAGCCCCATCTCAGAAAATAACACCTCTTCCTACAGCCCCCAAACCTGCCTCATTCAGACCAAGGTTCAGCCTAATTAATGAAAAAAGTGCTTGCTAAGCCAACTAATTATTAGTACAAATGAATTACAGTGGAAAGTGTATAAAGATAATTTGTTGTCAGACACCATGTACATATAGCAATTAAAGTGGCGAGTGCTTCTCCACTCATTAAGGCAGGCCCTCGAGGCCCTGCAATGGGAAGAAAATCACCAGCCAGCAAGCTACCCAGAGGAAGCATGCGTAGAGCACCTAAGTTCTGAGGAGGATGCAGGCACAGGGAGGTGCCAATCTGGGCTTGGTATTACCCACCCTGGGAAGGAATGAGGGGGAAGTGAGCCAGGGAAGTTGGCTCTTTCCCCAAGTCGATGGTCTTCCTCCTGGTCCAGATTTGCATGCGTTTCCACCCGGGTCTGTCCCCACTCCCCAGCTGTGAGTGGGCAGAGGTACTTTTCTGGGTGCCGCCTCCCTCCTCCCTCAGTGGTTCTGCCATCCATCAGATCTTCCTTCCTTCCCACCAGCCTCCTCTGTGGTATGTGATCAGGGTGGTTTCCATCACACAAGCCACCTCTCTGTTTCCCAAAGATAACACAATCCGTGTGGGTGTTTGCTCGCTGGTGCTGTTATCTAAGATCAACACAGGGGTTCCTACCTCCAGAGGCCTCCAGGGTCAGGAAAAAGCAGAGGCTTCGTGTCTCGGTTGGTGCCTGGTCACCATAGTTGGGGTTTTGGGTGGTTTCCTTCTGGTGGGGGCGAGGGTGGCTGTGAACAAGCTGTGGGTCTTCTCCCCACCGTCTCCACCTTCAGCCCTCTGGCCCTAAGCTCGGGTGGCTGTCAGGGGGAAGCCCCCGCCGCAGCTGGTGATGAGATGTTTTTCAGCAGGAGGTACTCAGTCCCTCACATTCTACTGAGGGGCTGTCCAGCCCCTCCTGGGCCTCCACTGTCCCGAGAGTCTCTACATGGGTCCTGTGCCCCCTGAAGTCAATCATCAAGTCAGGTGGCATTTAACCATCAGCTGTTCTACTGCCTCAAGACCTCCCCCTAACTGGTTCTCTGCCCCAGGCCCACCCTGCTTGGAGCACACTGACTTTCCTGGAAGCAGGAAGGAGAGAGAGCACTGGATTAGGCTGGGTGGCTTTGGGGGAAGTTATGTTTTTTCTTCCAGTGAAATAAAAGGTCCAGCATCCCAAGTCTTTAAGGCTTTCCAACTCGCTCATGATTCTATGCTCTGTCCCTCCTGTTAAAGACCCTTCAGCGGGCTCCCTCCTGCACATAAAGCCCACACTCCTTGTGCCAGCAGCTTTCGAGGCAGTGCAGAGCCTGACCCCAACTCCTTCGAGGCCTTTCTTTTGGCCTCCTCCCACCACCACCATCCTCCAAGCCACCCAGCCTTCTCACTGTTGTCCCCAACAGTCTACACCATGCCTCTGTTTGCTCCCATCACTCATGCCACTCTGCTTGCAGCGATGCCCTCCCTTCAAAGCCCGCTCCATTGCCACCATCTGCCTCTTGCCCGGAGCCCCAGCCTGAAGTGAGCTCCTCCTGGGACTTTGATACAGACATTGCATTCAACCCTAGGAGTCACTGCTTGGGCATCCAATAGATGAAGCACTCGGACAGGTTAAGGTTAGTTAATCCTTCATCCAAGAACGTGTGACCATCGCACATGCTTGGCACAAGGTCTTGGGCCTGATACAAAAATACTTGTCATCTGTACGCTGCCTTACAGATTATAAGAATCCTCAAAACCACTGAGAGGCAGCCCTGCCACAAGGGGGATTATTAGTGATCTGCCTAACGCCAACCAATTTGAGTAGTTAGTTGTGCCAATAGCAGGTCATAGCCCTTCTGCCTCCAGATCCAATCTGTTCCCTCAGAACTGGGCTGGGGGAGGGGAGGCAAGCCCACAAGAAACACCAAGCCATGCAGAGCCATCATGCCTCACCCAGGGGGAATGACTGAGGTTTAACCACTGATTAAAATGATCCCTACACCTGCTCCTTAGAGGACAGTTAGGAGCTCATGCTGCCGACCCTCCCAGCAGTTTCCTCATCTGTAAAGAGGGACTTCCCTCACTGGGGAGGCAGAATTACATGAGCCAGGCTCCCTTGTGCTCCAGAGGCTTGTGGGAGCCAGAGCAGCATCAGTCACAGAACTGCAGGGGCAGGACTAGAAAGCTTAGAAAGCTAATGATGGTAAACTCGCTCTATCCAGGGCGGAGGGGGGTTCAGAAAGGAGAGAAGTCTACAGTCATGCCACCCAATCTCATCAGAAAGTCGTGAGATCTCACAGAGCAGCAAAGCCAGCCTGGACACCCCCCGCCCCCCGGCCACTCCTCTCCCTCCCACCGAAACCAGGGCCAGGGCCATCTGTGGACAGCTGGAGCAGATGGCCACCCCAAGCCAACCCAACAATCTCTCTGGGCATTTAACCTCCATTGTTGATTTCTACCCAGAGGACCAAGGAATGTAAATCAGCCCCTGGAAACTAGGCTGCCCTGAGATGAGGTTGCTGGTTTAAAACAAACACAAGGCTTCCTATATAAGGACCAGCCAGCCACCAGGTGTCACCTCCGCCAGGAATCCCAGGTAGGCACCCTCTCTCACTCTGTGGGTTTGCTTATGGGTTTAACTTACTGGCCATTCACAGGCCCATCTGAACCAAGGGGAGGTTGCACAAGCTGGGGCAGCCTGGTTGCTCAGACATAACTGGGCTTAGGTCTCCTGGGGATCTTGCTGGGTCAGCTTCATCACCTGTTAAGAAGCTTGGCGAGGTCTTTGGGGGCTGAGGCAAACACATGGGGAATCCACTGCCAAGGGGTCTGCCCTGAACAGTCTGGGAAGAGAACACAGACATCCTCCAATTCATTCTGCCTTAAGCAGCGGGGAGAGCTGCCATCCCAGGTCAAAGCCCTGTGTGCTAGGCTCCTACCTGCATTCCGAGGCGCTGGGAGGGCAGTGGACGCGAAGGGAGAGGAGGGGGAGCGTGTTAACTGGAGACTCTCTTCTCCAGGCCCATCTGTCCCAAGCCAGCTGAGGCCATGCCTTCCCCGGGGACCATCTGCAGCCTGCTGCTCCTCAGTGTGCTCTGGGTGGACTTGGCCATGGCAGGCTCCAGCTTCCTGAGCCCCGAACACCAGAAAGCGCAGGTGAGATTCTCCCCACGAAGCCCCACATTCTGACGGGGCATCTCATTCCAGCCCTGCCATAGCAGCCAGCTGTGTGACGTGGGCAGTGGCTCAACCTCTCTGGGCAGCCTTCACAGAGAACACAGAGGGCCCTGGGTCTGACTTATAGGCCCCGCCTCTCTCTGCTCTGGAAGGATATGGGGGCTTAGGGCCCTAAAGAAAACTCTCTCTCTCCAGCAGAGAAAGGAGTCCAAGAAGCCACCAGCCAAACTGCAGCCCCGAGAGCGAGAGCTCGAAGGCTGGCTCCGCCCAGAAGACGGAAATCGGGAGGAAGGGGCAGAGGATGAGCTGGAAATTCGGGTTGGTTCCTCTGTAGTTTTATGCTTTTGTGGCGGGGGAGGGGATGAGGGAAGGGAAGGCAGGGGGTGATAGCATGAACAGGGGTCCACTTACCAGCATGAAAATAGTTGACTGCACTGTGCTCTATGAGGTCTGTGCCCATGAAGAGGCAAATATCTAAGAGAAGTAACTTTGCTACCACAGAATGGGAACGTACAGGAACCATGAGCAGAGGAGAGAGAAGGGGACGCTAGCAGGCGCCAGATATTTTCAAAGGGTGCAGCAAACGGGGTGCCCAGAGAAAGATACCCAGGTAGACATAGCTGGTCGTAGACTGAAGGTGTTTCCCCACAGAAAACATTCTGGTTTGCCCAGGGCCTCTCAGACCTCACCTGGGCTGCAGTGCGCCCAGACCGCATCCTGGCCGGCAAGCTGCTGCTGGCGGGGCTGCAGGGCCCACTTGCTGAAGCCCATCTGTGGATGAAGACAGACCAGCCAGGCTTGCCCTGACTCTGGCTAATCTTGCCTGAGATAAGGAAATAGTTTAGAGATAAATGGAGGACTAGGAAGGGGGGGACTGGGAAGGGGGGGACTGGAGGGAGAAATGGGTTTCATAGGGTCATCCAGGTAACTTTCCTGAAAGGCTGGCTGTGTGTGGTTAGCAGACGGTTCTGACAAGATTTCGGTGGCGACAGACACCTCCATGCAGAGAAACCAGAATTCCCTGGATGGTACTTAATACTCAACCATGGCAGTTACTGAGCTGCTGGGAGCTGGTATCATTGCCCTCATTGATTAGAAGTTCAGACAATGTACTTGCCTGAGATGCCACTGCCAGAGGGCGGCAGCGGTAAAACTGAAGGTCAGGGCTGAGTCAGTCCCCAAGTCCTCTCTTCCTCCTTACGGTCTGACAGAGGGAGTGCCTCTCACTCTCTCTGGCCTGAGAGAAGCTGAAGTGTGTCCTGCCTTGGCCTTTCTCTAACCACCCACCAGCCACTTCTCCTGTCAGGGATGAGCTCCCCAACCCATGCTTTCTCTGACCCTCTGTAAACCTAAAGGTGTTCTCAGGCACTTCCTCCGTACCACCTGGGACATCCTCAGCCCACCACATCCGCACTCGAGGCCGTAAATGAAAATCAGGGAACTCTCTTAGTGAGGTTGGCAGCTCCCGCCGGCAGGTACTCACCCAGCTGGGGTCACTCTAAATTAGCCCAGATGGGGAAGCGATTTCAGTGGCGGCTGACTCAAGGCAGGGCTGGAAGTTTCTAGTTTCCACAAAGGCTGGCCTCAGAAGAAACGGCCCGGGCTGCCTCAGCTAGAACCAGAAGTCTGAAATGTCTGGGAGGTGGTGTAGCGGTAGGAGATGGGTGGGGCAGGAGGCCAGCAACACCTTCCGGAAGCCCCTCCCATCCTAGGGCTCCACCTCTTTCATCCCAGGCCCCCCACTTCCTTCAAACATTTTCCTCCTAAAATCTAGTTTCAGGACTTTAATATTTTTCAAACCAAGCCCTTCCCACTCCCCTACCCCACCCATCTCCCACTGAACAGACGAGACGCCGAGGCCAAGGGAGTCTTGTCAGGTCACCTGGAGCTCATCTCCCACCCACCAGTCGCCACGCCGCCTCTCAACTGCCCCTGCCACCCAGTTCCAGCCAGCAAGTCCCTAAGGAGTCTGTTCCAGTGATCTGACCACCCCACATTAGCCACGGGGGGTGGAGGGGATGTATCTTTGAATCTTTACTGAAGGGAGATAACGGGAGGGTCCAAGTTCCCTAAAAAACCAATCATGCCATTCCCCATACTCTCCACCTTCACAGTGAAGACAAGTGGGGAAGGTAAATTGTTTTAAAGGAACAAGTGGGGAAGGTAAATTGTTTTAAAGGAACAAACAGCCATTTGTTGCTTTGATAACTTCTCTGAGCAGTTCGCTCATCTGTAAAATAGGAGTCATAGTGGTACCTGGGCGCTGCCACACCCCTGGGGCTAGCAGAGGTCCTGGGACTGGTGGACTTAAGAATCCTGCATTCTAGTCCTTGGCCACCAACTCTTCTGAGGCCTCAAACAAGTCCTTTAACCTCTCTGGGTCTCAGCTGCTTTATCTGAAAATGGGGGTAACACCTCCTGTCTGGAGTGTAGTGGGCAGAAGGACCAAGGAGCAGGGGTTCTTTCCAACATCAAGAGTCCTCCACTGACCCATGGAGGTGTTCAGACATCTCAGTGACCAACATGGCCAGGTGCTGAGGCAGCTACTGGATGAACAGAGATAAAGATACAGTCTCTGGTCTCAAGGGAGAAAACAATGATGTGGCTGCAAACACAGCTCTTTCCTGTTTCCCCAAAGCTTTTAGTGACAGTAAATCACCTCACAGATTGCCAAGTAGGGAAAATGGTGCTCTCTCCCTGCAGAAGGAAAAAAACAGAAGCCGAGAAAGAAGAAGGAACTTAGCTCTAGGAAAAGGTTAGCTTCCTGCCTGCACTGAACAGAGGCCTGTGCATATGAGACAAAGCACCTGGGAAAGGAGAGGTGGGGGCAGTGGAGGGGGTAGAGACCATCACGTAGGCTAGTGCTATGTACACCAGGTAAGCCCACTTCCCCCAAACCTCCCTGCCAGGGCCTGAAATTCCACCATTGTGATTCAACATTGTCTTCAAAAACTGCACGGCAGGGAGGGGGGCTTGCTAGGGGACACCACAGCTTTTACCTTAGCGGTAAAGGAAGAGTGTCAAGGTTAGCCTCCTAAAGATGGAGGGGGCAAAAAGAATGGGCGTACAAAGAAGAGAACTGAGCTATCCCTCGGTGCACCTGCTGGGCCCACAGGCCCTTTCCCTCTCTGACCCTTTGGGATGAAGTGTTTGGGGCAGGGGTGTGGGAGGCTGGAACCTCTGACATTTCCTGGGTCCTCCCTACTCTCCTCCTAGTTCAACGCCCCCTTTGATGTTGGAATCAAGCTGTCAGGGGCTCAGTCCCACTGGCATGGCCAGGCCCTGGGGAAGTTTCTTCAGGACATGTTTTGGGAAGAAGCCAATGGTAAGTCCCTGCCCGGGTCAGGTCAATTCAGAGTTTTCTCGGAGTCCCAAATGTGAGCCCACATTATGGGTGACACAAGAAAAGTTCTCTTCCCTGACCCCTGCCTCTCAAAGAGCTTCCAATTCCTCGTTCCCAAATAGCGGCAGGAGTGGGCGGGGCTGGTATTTGAGTGGCTCGGAGGGTGTTTTTGTATTCAAAGAGGGTACTAAGTTCTGAGAACTAGCTTTGGAGCCCCAGTGAACCCCAATTTCCGCAACCATAAAATGGAGCTAACACCCCTAATAAAGTATAAAATTATTTGATGTTACAACACCTTTACTGTATAATTTTACTTCACAAACAACAGGAATTAGTGCTACAATTGCATTCAGAAGAATGGGCTCCACAGCCAGTTAAGCAAAGTTTTTTCTGTTTTTATTTGAATCCCCTCTTACCTTGTAAAGAAACCACTCAACTTTCCCCTGATCAAGGCCACTGGAAGCACCTTACAACCTGCAAAGCACTTCTGTCACCAACATGGCATCACCTAACCCACCCACCACTCGAGGCAGACAGAGACTCGCACTCACCCTTCCATGCAGATAAGGAGACCAAGACTCCGAGCTTTTAGTGACTTGCCCAAGTCACAGCCCAAGGCTTCCCCCATTACAAGACACCACCTCACCAGTCACCACTGTGTAAGAAAACCATCTCTGATGGCACTGGCCAGATAGCAGACTCAGAATTTTGACATCTACACCCTTGCTTTTCAGAGGTCCCAGCAGACAAGTGACCATCCACAGGACGGGCCCACCTCTTTGTTCTCCTACTACCCTTAGAAGTGCTCACCGTGGCTTTTAGATTGCTTCTACAACTCCCAGCTCTGAGTGGTACTAGCTTAGGAGCCTAATAAATATTCAAAATGTGTGCTAAGTGTTCGTAATGAGAATTATTTCACCGAAGAGGAAAATGTCACTGGAAAAATAAGTCTTGTTCTATGGTCAATGGAAAGAGAAAAGAAGGATATGTAGCAAGGCAGGTGTGCACACTCAGAAAACCACACTAGACCACCTCATACAAGCAGAGAGACTACTGGGTGTGTGTGCCAGAAGAGGAGTGGAGGGGAGAGAGACAAAGAATAAGTAAGAGGGGAAAGGGAAGAGAGGGGAGAAGAGGATGGGGAGGGGAGAAAGAAAGACACAGTTCCTTTAAATATCAAAGTGCAACGTTGCAATGAGAGCTTATTATCAAGGACTGTGTGGCCCTAGTCCAGGGGTGGGCAAACTTTTTGACTCGAGGGTCACAATGGGTTCTTAAACTGGACCGGAGGGCCGAAACAAAAGCATGGATGGAGTGTTTGTGTGAACTAATATAAATTCAAAGTAAACATCATTACATAAAAGGGTATGGTCTTTTTTTTTTTTTTTTTTTTAGTTTTATTCATTTCAAACGGGCCGCATCCGGCCCACAGGCCGTAGTTTGCCCACAGCTGCCCTAGCTGGTTTGGCTCAGTGGATAGAGCAGTGACCTGTGGACTGAAGAGTCCCGGGTCTGATTCCTGTTAAGGGCACATGCCCCAGTTGAGGGCTCACTCCCCAGTAACGGGCGTGCACGAGACAGATCAATGATACTCTCTCATCATTGATGTTTCTATCTCTCCCTCTCCCTTACTCTCTGAAATCAATATATATATATATATAGGACTGTATGGACAAAGAAAGTACGGGTGACATTATCAGAGCTAAAATCTACTAAACACATTCAAGATCAGAACAGGATTCTGGGGATGCCAAAGCATGAGTCTAAAGTTATCAAGTGGGTGCTAACACTGGCTTCTAGCCACTGCTGGGAAGGGCTTCCTCTTTGTTCACTACTGAGAAGCCCAGCAAAGTAGATACCAACTCACATAGGCAAGGCAGGCCACTGCCTTCATTACTTCACTGATACCTGGTAGTTGTCCCACATTTCCAACTCCAGCTCACAGCTGAATCGAACCTTGGTCCGTAAGTTCCACAATTTAATTCCAGGAAAGACACCAGCCTTCCTAGGAGGAAATGTCACCTATCAGTCATTTACACTTTAGCATAACATGCAAACTGGTTTCTGAAAGCTGGTGATGATGGGTGAATCAATAGGAGAGAAAAGCAAACAAGGAGGGAGATTCCAAAGAGATGCACTGCCAGTCAGACACATGATCCCCTAGAAATATGTAGGGCACCCCTCTGCAGAGTTGGGGTAACACCCACACTGGAAAAAACTACCACAGAGGGCTCGAGAAGCCAAGTATCTTCTTGAGTAAAATTTTGGCCACCTGGCACTCAAGGCACAGCCCTTTAGGTACCAACCACTGGTAGGTGCACTGAAACCCAACTGCCATTGATCATCCAGGAACTCCATGTGATCTGTGGGTCATCCGGGAATTCCTTAGAAATGCCATCTTGGGCCCCATCCCTGCCCTACTATATCAGGATCTGTACTTCAACAAGATCCCAGGTTATTAAATGGCTTCTATAAAGTGGCTTAGAGGGAACTGGACTCTACTCAGACGGCACAGCACACTGCAGCCAGATTGCCCCGCCTGGCATACAATAGGTGTCGATTGTTATAAAACTTAAAAAAAAAACTGAGACCTGGCCAGGTGGGACCCTCAACAGAACTGTGAACACATGAAAAAGGTGTCCTGTTTCTTCTCTCTTACCTTCTTCCCCATCGATTTAGTCCCAGCTCTATTGTAGACTCTGTTGGGCAGATGGCAGACCACACACACACACACACACACACACTCCCATCTCTCAGATGACCAGACACCTGATTATATGACTACACAGTGACCTTACTGAGTCTTTGCTTTCAAAAGCATCGTCATCTAAGCCACAGACTGAAACAGGTTATCACCATTAAAGGAACTTAAGGTATTGGAGAACAGATGAACTAAGTGGGGGTAGTGGAAGAAATAGAAATGGAGGGAAATGATCTTCTACAGCCACCAGATAGCCAGCTCCCTAGTACTGAGGTCTAGACTGACATGCTGCCCTGAAGCTTAGCCACATCCCAGTTCCATTGTTTAGTGGGGGCACAACCCTGATCACCCTAACCACACCCACAGCCCTCTTCTTAACAGCTAGAGAGGATGGAAGGTCCAAGTGTGATCAAATTGACCCAGGAAACCAGCTGCTGACCTGGGGAAGCAGCAGCCATGGATTGGGCTGGGGACGGTGCTTAGGAGGGGGATGTGTGCCAGACCCTGGTGGGAATGCTGGTCAGCTCCATCCCATCAAAAAAAAGAACAAAGACTTACTTCTCTCTCAAAGGACTGACAAGCATTCTCTGCCACTTGCCTGCGTCATTCATTAAAAAAATATATAAAAATTTTTTTTTAACATTTTTTAAGCCCACTCTGGACTGGGCAATCTCACCTGGGGCAGGCCCATGATGTGGTTGAGAGATATGGGCTAGACCAGCCGTGGGCAAACTACGGCCCGTTTGAAATGAATAAAACTAAAAAAAAAAAAAAGACTGTACCCTTTTATGTAATGATGTTTACTTTGAATCTATATTTATTAGTTCACACAAACACTCCATCCATGCTTTTGTTCCAGCCCTCCGGTCCAGTTTAAGAACCCATTGTGACCCTCGAGTCAAAAAGTTTGCCCACCCTTGGGCTAGACTCAGACCTGAACTTGAATACCAGTTCTGATCCAGACCAGAATATTGAATTTCTCAGGTTCCTCAAATTAAAATACCCACCTACCCGGGTTACTATAGAGACTGAACACAGTATCTCCCTCAAGGACACCTGGCACATAATAGGCATTCAACTATTCTAACCATCATCACTTACTTCATCCCTGCAGTGCACCAGGCGTTGTTCTAAATACTTGTAAGTAGTTAATGCAATTTCAGCTAATTTTCACAAGCTACTTCGGAGGGAGGAAACTGAAGTTTGGAGAAATTAACTTTCCAAGGTCACACAGCAAATACATTGCCCACTCATATCCAGAGCTGTAGTGGTTGAGTCCATGCGTTTCAAAGTCTACTGCCTCTCAATGGTATTTTCTTGCCCTGCTGCCTTGGGTCCAAGGGATTTCTTTTATTTTTAAAGTAAAATTAAAAAAAAAATAGTTTATTGACTTTTAGAAAAAGAAGGGAGAGGGAGAGAAACATTGATGTGAGAGTGAAACATCTATACGCTGCCTCTCCTGCATGCCAAACCAACAACCTTTCAGGGCTTGTTTCTGTTTTTTTTATTTTCCTTCATAATACACTGGGTCAACTTCAAGTCAACAACTGGCAGAAATAAAACATCAAAGGAAAGAAGGGACACACTTGAAAAAATGTAGCATTTCAAACAAGGTCCTATGTCACCCTTCTTAGACCTATTCCTCTAACATTATTTAATGATACCACTAACTTAAGGTTCTCTGAATGGGGTGTATTTACCCTTGGGGTGAACAAGAAATTTGTTGAAGGAGTGCTCGCTTCGGCAGCACATATACTAAAAGAAATTTGTTGAAGGAAAAAAATTCTCCTCATAAAAAGCTTATTTTGTGTTTTAGGATATACCTAGTATATCAGTATACTAGCACATGTATTTAACTCATCATACACTTACAGGTGTGTGCTCAGAAATTCCCTTATGGCAACATGTAAACAGAAGAATGGGGACCCATGCTTAGCTACCTTCCTTAATCTGAATCCACTCCAAATGAGCACTGACAGGGACCACAAGGGCTGGCTAGCCACTGATCAGCAGTTCTGCTGCCATCTTTGTTTGAGTTTGTTTAATCACTGAATATTTCAACAGATTTTCAGCCACAAACCGACTATCACTGAGTAGCAGAGTCAACTGTGTTCAACCGGAAAGGAAACTGAACCAAAGTGAAGGAATATGCTGAAAATGCAGTCAATGACTATCTCAAAGATGATGCATTAACAGAGATTTCAAATTTGTTTAACATTCTCGCAGCAGAGCCTTCCTTTTTCCAGGTTTACTTTTGGCTTGTGCGTCTGTGTTCAACAATACCTCCATAAAAATTAGAGGACTGAGTTAAATACATGTGCAAGTAGTGAAATAGAATGTGCTCCAGTCTACCCAGAGGCATCAGTCCACAGTCCAAAAACAGTACAACTGATTCATCAGTACCACACTTGTGTACTCGATATTTCTTCCTCTTACTGCACTGCTCTGGAAAAAGAAAAGAATCTATCTATATAGTTTTCAAAGGCTAGGAAGCAGCAGTATATCTGAGTTCCCAAAGTGTAAGATAAAAGTTAACGCTCAAAGGCAGCAGAACTTTTAAGAAGATACCATGTCTTACTTATCTCATGCAATTTTGCAGAGGCACCTGTATACTCGAGAATGTCAGACCTCTGGGATCGCAGGTTTCGAAGTCGGCCACCAACTGAACCACTGTTCTCATTCTGAGAACTCTAAACAAACGTGGAGAGCATGGGAGTTGGCTGGGAATCTATCCCTTTATTTTCAGAAACTGATGGGTAGGGGTAATACAGAGGCATTCCAGCAGCACAGCAAAAACAATCAAGTCAGCCATCCAACAACAAAAACATTGCCAACCAGCTTTCACACCACAGCACAGAAGTAATCCTAAATCCTAGAGATAAAAGTGTATAGCACCTTGTGCGTTACCTTGGCAGGAAGACTGCATAGGCTCTGAGATATCCATTTAGTCATCCCTTTAACCCTTTAATGCAGGACTAGTTGGTTTCCCATGTAGGCAGTACTGACATACAGGGCTTATGAAGGAGATATATATGCTGCAGTTCATTTGGATGACAATGAAACACTCTGAAATATTTAGCAGTTCCCCAAATCTTCCAAACAGGAGAACGAGCCCCCAGTTCCCCACACTGGCAAACATGAGGCACAAACAACGCACAACTAATCCATGGAAGGTCAACAGGGAATCAAGGCCCACTTCTCAGGCCAGCAACTGTGCACAGGGGCAAAACAGAAATACCATCTAGAAAAAATGTTAAGCCCATTTCCTTTTAACTTACAAGGCTCAAATGCACCTTCCAAAATCACCTAGAGAAATCCAGCATTAAGTGATGGATTTTATGATGTAAGCCACCAGGTTCCAAGAAACACACAAGGAATTCGGTGGCCTGTCTCACTGCAGATTGGGGTAAAGGATCCTTTTGGACAAAGTGCAGTGTCCTTACATTTACCCCGTGACCATTATAACCTTCCAGGGCCTGTAATGAATATACCTTTAGAAGGCACCAGCAGGAAACAGAACACAGCTTAAAATCTGAGTTGACCCCAGATGCTCAAAAGTCAAAGGAGAGGCTCTCATTTCCAACACAGAGAAAGGACACAGAGGAGGCAAAGGCAAGGGAGACCACCCAGAGGGGGAATGAGAGATTTACAGACATCAGGCCTGCTTGTTGGGCAAAGGCAACAGAACATGGCCGAGTGACCCCAGCAGAGCTTTGAAGAAGTAAACTGATTTACCTCTTAACCTGGGAGGGACACACAAGAGGCTGTCATATGCAATGAAAAAGTATGAGTATTTCTGGTCCAGTGTTCCAGGGAAAGAGGGCAAAATGGAACGAAGGGCGGCTGGGACCTCACCAGCAGACTAGCAAGTAGCTTCTGCTACAGGCTGGACCTTGATCAGTTTAACACAGCCGAGTTGCAGCCCTGGGGCATCAGTAAGTAGAAACACCTTCTTTGGGGTCCTCTTCCTCAAGAAGGCCTCTTCCTTGAGTTCCCCCATTCTGTCCAGATCTCCATCAGCCAGGACTTTCCCTGGACAATGCGTGCCTTTCTGCCCCCTCTGTATTGATGGCAATGGAACCAGTGAAACCAGTAGTCGAGTCCTTCCACCTGTGCCGATGCAGAGTTGACACAGCGACAGCCACACTGAAGAGTTATCCATGGAAGAGAAGGGGATGACTCCTTTGGTTGCAGGGGGGTGACTTCACCGGTCTCCAGCAAAGATCCCCCATAGGTTTCTCACTGGGAGCTCATTCTCAGAACTGAGGACCAGGAACCAAGTTACACACCAACATGGGCTTAGACTAGTAGGAGGGTGACTTTATTCGCAGACTGCTCAAAAACACAGGCTGCAGAGAACAGAGATTTGGATTGGCAAACTTGTTGCACCCTTCTACTAGTATTTCTTCCTCCCTGACTGCCCTGGAGCATGTGACCAGGAGGCAACCCCCCTTCCTGCTCCCCACGCCCCCCCCTCCACTGAACCCCCCTACCCATAGCCAAGATCAAAAGCCTGATGATGAAGTTTCAAGGAAAATATCCTGTTTCCTATCTTGGTTTTCTCCTTGTCCTGGACCCAGGCAGAGATGAAACCCAGCCTATGCTGTTAGGTCACTGGTCGTCCTGGAGGGTAGAGAAGAGAAAAGGAAGAAGGTTTCAAACCAAGTTCACTCAAGACAAATCAGGCTACTCTCTACATTAATAAAATGCAGCAAAAAAAGCTTCTGTCCCAATTTTTAAAAACATAAATGTAAATTTTATGACCTTTTATAGAAAACTCCTGCACTCTCTCTGCTTAAAGATTGTAGAGGCGACTGGTGTTCTCACGCAAGGTAGCCAAGGTGCGGGACAGCGGTTGATCTTTGACCCTGGCAATCTCTCGAACTGTATGCAAGGCCAGGCCCGGGTGGGCATACTGGCAAAGACTTTTGGGAACCTGGAAGATATCAAACATTCAGAACATCGCTGTGCTGTCTGCGCACAGTCATTACACAGAGCTCCCTCCCCGGCCCTTCCCCAGTAAGGACCTCTTTGGGGCTGCCCTGTAGAGACCCCTTTACCTGCAGGTGCAGGGAGAGTCCTAGTCATGGGGGGCTCTGGGTGAGCAGGGTCCCACGCTTCCTTGGACTACCCTCTACAGGGTAGGGCTTTGCACTGCCTGGAAGAGAGTGGTTACCCTTCAGCTTCTCAGCCCCCTAGACTTTTGGTTCTGCAGAGCAATACAAGGAGACATCTATATAGCCAAGGGTGGGACCTGGATATCACTGGGGCTCTGGCCCTGCCAACCTTGTCATGGTGACCGCCCACCTCCCCACCCTCTCCTCAGTGCCTCAACTCAGCCTGGAGACACCCCTACCTGTCGAGGCAGGAAGTAGGGGGCATCAGTTTCCACGATGATTCTCTCCAGCGGGATCTGTTTCAGAGCTTCCCGGGCCTCCCAGGCAGAGGAGTACGTCAGGACTGCCGTGAAGCCCACAGACATGTTTGGGAAGTGCTTCAGCAGGGGCTCGATGACCGGGTAGCTGCCAGTGAAGCAATGCCTGAGAGGAGAAGTCCAGATCAGCGCTCTCTCACAATCACCTGGGCAGCAGCCCCAACTCCCTCTAGACATATAACCCCTTTTACATTATTTTCTGTGGATAAATATCCAGAAATGTAAAGCTTGCATCCAAAGGAAGGACTCCACAGTAAACACAGACAAGAGCTGGTTTCAATATAGTAAGACCCAAGATGATTCCTGGTGAGCAATGCTCATCCATCAACCCATTACACCGCAGAATACTATACAGCCACTTAAAATAATTACCAGGAACATACAGCAACAATACAGGGACAGGGTATGCTTATGACACAAAAAGAGAAGCAGAATTTAAAACTGTGGCCCCTTTAATATTACAACTACAGTAGGTAAAAATTATGTCTATGCAGTCAAATGAACTCAAAGGAAACAAAAAAAATACATCAAGGAGTGAGACTATGAATGAATTTTCTTCTCTTAATTTGAAGGCTGTTCACATTCCATGTTCATAATATAATAAATATAATAATAATTAAAATATAGCCCTAAACGGTTTGGCTCAGTAGACAGAGTGTCGGCCTGCGGACTGAAAGGTCCCAGGTTCGATTCCGGTCAAGGGCATGTACCTTGGTTGCAGGCACATCCCCAGCAGGAGGTGTGCAGGAGGCAGCTAATTGATGTTTCTCTCTCATCGATGTTTCTAACTCTCTATCCCTCTCCCTTCCTCTCTGTAAAAAAATCAATAAAATATATTTAAAAAAATAAAATATAATATAATATAATCCTATCCTATATAATAAAAGGCTAATATGCAAATCGACCAAACAGCAGAACAACTGGTGCTATGACGTGCACTGACCACAAGGGGGCAAATGCTCAACACAGGAGCTGCCCCCTGGTGGTCAGTGCACTCCCCACTCAGCCAGAAGCCAGGCTCACGACTGGCGAGCACAGCGAAGGTGGCGGGAGCCTCTCCCACCTCCGCGGCAGCACTAAGGATGTCTGACTGACAGCTAAGGCCCACTCCCCACAGGGATATCCTCCAAAGGCTGCCGGACTGAAAGGGTGCAGGCCAGGCTAAGGGACCACACCCCCCCCACAGTGCACAAATTTCGTGCACCAGGCCTCTAGTATAATGTGTGTGTGTGTGTGTGTGTGTGTGTGTATAAAATCAATCTGGAAATTCAGGCCTTCCTCCAGCCACAACACCTTGTTGGACCATCCTAGCCTCCTTCAACCTACGACCAGTCATTAGAATTCCTTTACAGTCAGCCCAAAATAAAGCAATGAAAAACCAACAAACCAACCAGAAGGGCCAAGTGACTATGCCTCGTCTCTGATGTGTGCCACCAGTCAGAGGTCAGAGACTTCACTCTCTGCTTGGACCCCCAAAAGGCAGCAGCTTAGAGGCCTGACAGGCCCACCCATTTCTACCATCTGTCAAGACCTGGTTTGGATTCTAGACTCCCTGCTTTTTTCAGTTAACTCATCTCACCCATCTTGATAGAACCAGCCCAGGCATTGCCTCCTGATCCCTTTAGAGCTAGGCTTAGCTAATGGCCCCTGATCTGGTTCTCACAGTACCGTATGCCCACCTCAGACCCACACTCTCTACAGTAGAGAAGTAACCAGCTGACTCACCAGTCTCCCACAGCTAAACCAACAGCCAGGACAGGTACACAGTAAGAGATCAGGAAGTATGTCAAAGTGAACTTAAGAACCTCTAGATACTATTCACATCCTGTACTTCAATGAGCTTTCAAATTCAAAAAAGAAAAGAAAATTTCTTTTCAGGTGCCCTGGAATCTTCTGTGTGCTAAGTCACCGGACTCCACAGCAGTCTTTCCCGAAATCAACAGCCCTCATTTCTGAAAACTGAGACTCCATTCTCGCCTGCCACCAGGACAGAGGTCACAAAAGCCCCTTTTTTGCTCACTGATGATTTAGGGTATTAGCTCAAACCATATGAAGTTGCAGTTTAGTAAGTAAAAAATGGTTAAATAACAGAAATTTCATATGGTTCAACCTAATATTTAATCTTTAGTAAAGATACTACATAAAAACATAATAGTATCTATGCTCTCCTACTGAGTTTTCGTTTTTCCAACTAACAGCCTAGACCAGTGGTCGGCAAAATGCAGCTTGCGAGCCACATGTGGCTCTTTGGCCCCTTGAGTGTGGCTCTTCCACAAAATACCAACTTCTGCGCATGGGCCACGAAGTTCAATCGCACTGTACATGCGCGCCCACACATGGTATTTTGTGGAAGAGCCACACTCAAGGGGCCAAAGCGCCGCATGTGGCTCGCAAGCTGCAGTTTGCCGACCACCGGCCTAGACAGAGGAAGCATTCGTTTCATTTGCCCACTGAAGCTCCCGCCTAACCTATGGATCTTGTAGTCTGAGGGCACAAATTTTTTCATGATGCTCAGCAGATCTTCATCAGCTTCTCGGCAGTGAATCACCAAGGGCTTCTTTAGAGACACGGCCAGCCGCAGCTGTCTCTCAAATACCTGGGAGAAGACAAAGTGACAATACGTGCAGGTTAGGGCCACTTCAGAAGTCTGTTACCTCCAGAACACCTAGTCCAATGGGCAGATCCACTGTCTCAAACTCTGTGTTTTTAAACTATAATGTTCAGTAACAGTAAGACTTAATGGGTCTTACTAAAGAGCCAGGTAGTACTCAAAGCACTTAAGGTACATTATGACCTATATCCCTCACAAGCACCCTAAGTTAAGTATTGCTCTTAGCCCATCCTGCAGTTGAAGAAACTGAGGCTCCAAGTGAAGTCAAGTAAGTTGCAGCTGAGAAGCTGTAGTGCCACCAAATCTGAACCCAGGCAGTCCACATAGCAACCACTATACAAGGCTTATTTGGGGTTGCAGGGGCAGAATGGGGCTCAGAAACAGAAAGTACAAGCTAAATGTCCTTCCCCTCATTCTCCCCAGCTCTACTCCCAAGAGGTAATTACCTTCTACACCTTTTCCTATACATACTCAATATCAATGCCTGGCTTTCAGATAAATACTATACATATTTTCTTTATTCAATCAAAATCAGATATTCTTCCAGGTGAATACCTACAGATATGATATATTCTTTTCATAAAACTCTAGCTATTTTTAAACCTTTATTAATAAAATACACATACTGTTAATGATTTCAATGAAAAAGTAGGGCTAAGGCCTTAATTTTTCCTCAAGTCCAGGTTTAGAACAAACGTATTAATTCATTATAAACAAATTACCTCGTCTTAAACTTAATGTTTTCATAAGTAGTTTTTTTCAATTGTGGAATATAATTCATTTTGTATTTTTTACATCAAATAGTACCATGCTTTTGGTAATTTGAGTCAGGTGATACTCACTTGAGAATGACATTTTTGAGTCTAACACTTGTGCTACCTCTTCTCATAACAGAAGCACTGAGCCAGTACCAATTCTAATGTAACTCTTGTTTAACCTGTGTGTTCAACTAAAGGAAAATGACCGAAAGAACCAAAATCACAGAACGCTTGGTAGGCGCTTTAAAGATGGGCTAGTTCCAATATCTATAGCTGGCTGGATGCCCTCCTGAACACATCAGCCCTCCTTGAACCTCTACAGAGGCAGGCGGTTGCAAGAGATTATAATTCCAATGTTGAATTCCTGCTTCCAAAATATAATTCTTTAGGGCAGTAAAACTAGTACAGTTCTTTGGGTGGACTATGACACAAATGATAAAAAGCATATTTTTCAAAGTATATTTAATGAAAGAGAACATGTTCACAAGTGGAAAAATCATTCAAAACGATTACTTTCGCCCAGGCAGCCTGGTTCATCGGTTGAACGTCAATACATGAACCAGGAGGTTATGGTTCGATTCCCAGTCAGGGCACATACCCAGGTTACGGGCTCAATCCCCAGTGTGGTGCATGTAGGAGGCAGCTGATCAATGATTCTCTCTTATCACTGATGTTTCTATATCTCTCCCTCACTCTGAAATCAATAAAAATATATTTTAAAAAAGGAAAATATATTTTTTTAAGTTTCAAAATGATTATTTCTTTCTTTTTAACTTCCTAATTTCTTATTTTAAAAGCATGTACATACAACACATACTTCCTTGATTCTATGACAAGTGCTTATAAAACATGCCACCGGGGGAGGGGGGTTAGAGAGCAACGAAAGGACTTCTTATATGCATGCATATTAGCATAACCAATGGACACAGACACTGGGGCGGTGGGGGCTTGCCCGGGCTGGGAAGGGATAGGGGAGGGGGTCAATTGAGGAAAAAGGAGACATATGTAAAACTTTAGACAATAAATAAATAAATTAAATTAAAAAATAAAACATACCACCAATTTTCCCTTGCAATTCTCCAAGGGACAATGACATTAAAAAGATAATATTTGGCCCTGGCCAGGTAGCTCAGCTGTTTGGAGCATCGTCCCATACACTAAAGGGTGACTGTTAGATTCCTGGTCAGGGCACATACCCAGGTTTTGGGTTTGATCACTGGTCCGGGCACATATGGGAGGCAACCGATCAATGGATGTTTCTTTCTCTCTCTTCCTCTCTCTCTCAAAAAAATAAATTAAATTAAATTAACCAATAAAACCATACCCTCAGGTGAGGATTAAAAATAAATAAATAACGTTTTGTAAAACATCTGAATTTCATAAATGTTAGTTAAGATAGAAGAATTGTTAGTAGGCAGGAGCTTGTGGCTGGACTGGACAAATCTAGAGCATTTGTCCTCAGCAGAAACCTGGCTGAATAAAAAATCAGGAGTGAATGAAGTGCAGATAAATTATTTACCCAGCATAATTACTCTCTTCTGCCTGCATAAGCTCAGGTTCCCACAGATCCATTATTTCCAGCGATTCCAGAGTTAATCAGTCTCTCTTGGGAGTGGTCCTCCCAGCAGTTCTTGCATAATCATTACCTCAATATTTCATTCCAGTCAAACACAAATGCAGACAGAAGCAATCTGGTTCAGCCTGCCCAGCCCAAGAGGGGAGAGACAATCTATTCACCCTGGCTTTCCAACTCCAGAAACCAAGAGATTCTGATAAACATACTGGCTGATATGTGCAACCCACAAACTATCCAGGACCTAATTCTTTGGAATTAAACAGGACAGTAAACAGTTAAATTTATGAACACAGATAAGCAAGGAACGTTAACTAAGGTTTGCTCTGGATAGCAGAATAATTAGTGTGTCGTCGTCCCCTCCCCCAATTCTTTTGCTTTTCTGTACTTTCCAATCTTTCTGGAAAATATTAGGTAAAGGAACCAGACCTAGCTAGCTCCCTCTCACTTGGCTAGATACAGTCCTCCCATAGGCTTTTCTTCTTCCCTTCACAGATAAAATATTCAGCAGGACACATCAAGAACTTGCCAGCTACTCTGCTTGTAGGCAAATGCAACTCAATGCCAACATCCAACTAATACACTTCTAATTTTGGTGCCCAAGTTTAGATTTCCATCAAGAACATGGCATCCTCTTCCTGCAGTGCTCTACAGAAATACCTTATCGTCCTCTCTTCTACACACAGTTCAGCCCTCCCCCTGCCAACAAGTTATTTCCTTGAATTTCCATTTTCCAATCCTGAATCCAATTTCACCAAGCCAAATGATACTTGCAAGATTCTACTTATCACCCTATGCTGTAACTTCAAGTTCAGTCAGCATGCCCTGGATAGCTCTACATGCAGATCTGATACAACGATGATTTAATAAAGGGAAAAGTTACTGTGAAATACTTAGCACATTTCCTGGCACACAGTAGGCATTCAATAAACATCAGCTATAAATCTTATATAATAAAAGGCTAATATGCAAATTGACCGAACCACAGAATGACTGGTAGCTATCACGCACAATGACCACCAGGCGGCAGACACTCAACGCAGGAGCTGCCCCCTGGTGGTCAGTGAGCTCCCACAGGGGGAGCACCATTCAGCCAGAAGCCGAGCTCACAGCTGGTGAGCGCAGCAGTGGTGGCGGGAGCCTCTCCCACCTCCGAGGTAGCGCTAAGGATGTCTGACAGCTTAGGCCCACTCCCCGCAGGCATTCCCTGAGGGCTCCCGGACTGCAAGAGTGTGCAGGCTGGACTGAGGGACCCCTTAAGTGCACGAATTTCATGCACTGGGCCTCTAGTTAAATAAAATGCTTCTCATCCTCTTTCCAGTCACCTCAGTGTACACATTTCTGAACTGTGATTCTCTTTCCATACCACACCTGCCCTGTGCCATAGAAACTAGTTGGGAAAGCAGAATATTAAATCCTTGTCTCACTTTCTTAAACACCTATTTCTTCCTGTTTTCAGGTTTAGCTATTGTTCCATTCATTTTTGGCTAATAAGTCACTGCCTCAAGTCAGAAATTGTAAACGTTTTAGTGTTAGTAACAAAAAGGAACTCTGGCAAGAGATTATTTGAATGTACAAGACAAACCTAATTCTGAATTGAAACCTAATTCTGAACTGAAACACTATACTAGAAAGCCATTCAAATAAAAAACTGAAAACATTCACACACATAAAATCTCACCCACCTGTCTGAATGCAGATCAAGTCAAAATCATGTTGCTCAGAATTTAATAAACTTATCAGGTCCTAGCAAATTCGTCTAAAAGAAAATCCTTTGGAAACATCTTAACACAATGCGTACCGCATAGAAATCTCTAAGACATACGCCAGGGACCGCACGTTTTTGGGCAAACTGCACGTTATTTAAATCATAACTACAGATCATAATGCAGTTTAGGTGTTGTTTTTCAATAATTATAACATTTTTATTTACAAAAACAATTAAACAATTAAAGTTCCTAGTACTTTTTTAACGTATGGTACTGCGTAAAACATTTTCCTCTATGAAGAGGGACCAAACAAAATTTACATAAGTATCTAGATTCCTTTTTCCATGGGTGGCACAAACTCTGCAGGCTCTCGTAGGAAATTTTTTCTTTCCACTCACTGGAATACACGTAGGTTCATGCTGCTTCATATCACCTGACAACCTTTTGGGTGTACAAAGGCACGTGGGGCCACGTGTTCGGACCATAGGTTCAAGCTTACAACCACAGCCGTTGGCTATGATTGTGCTGGGAGGGCCCTGCCCTCCAGCTGGGACTTGCACGTGGCAGTGAGAGGACCCTGTCCTTTCATTAGTCCGAGGCTTGAACCTGGCCAAAACACTGTAACCGCGCCCCACAGTGGACAAGACAGTGTGTTGACATCTAAGGTCCATAACAGATGGCGCGTGAAAAACGAGAACACTCATGAGCGGTCCTTAACAGATGGCGCGCGAAACACGAGAAAACTCCTGAGCGGTACGCAATGTGTTAAGTTGTTTCTTATAGAAATTAACTGTTAAGCCTGGCATGCTTACTGGCTGTCATGGACAACTGTATTCAAACTGAAATCTCTATCTCCTAAAAGTGTACAAAGGTCTAGTCTTCTGCTAGAGCAGAAGGGCACCATACCTTCCTTGAATTTTTTTTTCTTTGATCAAAAGAAAATTAAGAAACCACTGACTCTGAAAATTCCTTCTTTTAATTCAGATGCCAGTATCAATGGTGCACAGCATCAGTGCGCTGCTGAGGATGCCCTCAGTTAGATTGGGGACAGCACCAAAGAGAAAGCTGGTATCAAATTTGCCCAGGCTGGAATCCATACACGTTCACCAAGGCCTGAGCATATTGGGCATGCAGACCCAGACTTAACAGGCATCAACAGAAAGGCAGCACACAACAAATTCAACCTGGCAACATGCATAGTGTGAGGGTCTTTCTCCTTTTCCTGCTCCTGTCTAAATCAGAAACTACTCATACCCTGCCAAATCTCCATGCTAAAAAGATAATGGGAGTAAAAAATATTAAAATGGTAATAGTTGTTATCTCTAGTAGAATGGGAAATTATCACCTTTATACATTTTTGTATTTTCCAAATATTCTACAATTGGGCATACTTAACTTCAAAATCAGAATAAAAATAAATTAAACATGTCCTAACTGGTTTGGCTCAGTGGATAGAGTGTCGGCCTGCAGACTTAAAGGTCCCAGGTTCGATTCTAGGCAAGGGCATATGCCTAGGTTGCAGGCTCAATCCCCAGTAGGGGTCGTGCAGGAGGCAGCTGATCAATGATTCTTTCTCATCATTGATGTTTCTCTCTCTCCCTCTTCCCTTCCTCTCTGAAATGAATAAAAAAATATTTTTTAAAAAAATTAAACAAAATTTGTTCTTCCCCAAAAAAAGAAAAAAAAATGTTTTTGATATATATCATTAGCCATAAGTCCACAAAATTCTCTTATCATTTTCCCCCCCCCCCTTATATAGTAAACCTGAAAGAAATAGCTTGTGAAGAATTTGAGAAATGACATATAGATGGTCTGGATAAGAGCAATTGCATTTTTAGAAAATTCTAAATTCTTTAGTTCTAAAAAGACACCCCCCTCCCCGCCAAGTAGAAAAACCCTATGGTTAGATTTCAACTAAAAGAAGAATTAACACTGTAAACAAGTGGCCCTGGCCAAGTGGCTCAGTTGGTTGGGAATCATCAGGGCACATACCTAGGTTGTGGGTTTGATCCCCAGTGAGGGTGAGTACGGGAGTCAACTGATCATTTCTCTCTCTCTCTCTCTCTCTCTCTGCTCCCTCTCTTCCCCTTCCTCTCTAAAAAAATAAATAAAACATATCCTGGGGTGAGGGTTTAAATTAATTAATTACAATTGTAAGCAAGCTGGTTGCCATCATACATAGTAACTATCTGACCAGGAAGTTCATGACCAATAGACTACTTTAGTGTAAACCAATGGTCACTGACATTCTTCACCCAAGGAAGGCAGCAGTACTTAAGACAGAAATTTGGGAAAAAACTAGCCGAAATGTCTAAGATCACACCAAATATCATCTTTGTATTTGGATTCAAAACCCACTTTGGCAGCCGTAACCAGTTTGGCTCAGTGGATAGAGTGTCAGCCTGCGGACTGAAAGGTCCCAGGTTCAATTCCAGTCAAGGGCATGTACCTTAGTTGCGGGCACATCCCCAGTGGGGGGTGTGCAGGAGGCAGCTGATCAATGTTTCTCTCTCATCGATGTTTCTGACTCTCTATCCCTCTCCTTTCCTCTCTGTAAAAAATCAATAAAATATATATATTTTTTAAAATCCCAAAGAAGTTAATAACTCCAAAGATATCAATCCATTTATAAAAAAAAAAAAAAAAAAACCCACTTTGGCAGTGGCAAGAGTGGCTTTGGCATGATTTATGATTCCTTGTATTATGCAAAAAATAAAAAAAAAGAACCCAAACATAGATTTGCAAGAAAAGCCCATATGAGACTTCAAGAACAGAATGGAAGAAAGTCAGGGGAACTGCAAAGGCCAATGTTGGTGCTGGCAAAAATAGCAAAGATTCTTCAGTGGTTTTATCTGTATATATTTTTCATGAGAGGATTAATAAACTAAGAACTTAAAAAAAACACACAAAATTATAAGCAAACTAAAGAGAACCCCATTACCTTGTGCTGTTCTGGGACAGGTGTGGTGCATTTGTAAGAGTAATCCAAGCCCATTTCCCCAAATGCCACGGCCTTGGGATGCCTTAAGGCTTGCAAAAGATTTCTTTCTTGACTCTCAGTGTAGTAACGAGCAAAATGAGGGTGACAGCCAAAGGCCCCCCAAACCAGATCCTCTTTCAACAAATCCTCCCATAGGGAATCTGTCAGTGTCCTGGGATCACAGAAGTCAGAGATGCAGCCCTGAAATTCCTTAGGGAAGGAGGTGCTATAAATTCTCCTGAACTTGCTAAAGGTCCCTTTGAAAGACAACTTGGAATAGAGCATGTCCAAGTGACAATGGGTATCAATGAAACCCTCCTCTAGGTTTGGCTCTAGATGGCTCCTTGGCAGAGAGCTAGATGCATGTCCTTCATAAGAACGGGGTGGCGTCTCCTCCTGGAATGTTCTTTTCTCCTTCACCTTGTCTTGTAAGCTTCTGGAGAAATTATATGAGCGAGAATTCTGGGATCTGCCTTCCTCTGTCGCCTCCAAATCTCTAGAGGTGTTTTGGGAGCTCACTGTAGAGTTGGGGGAATAATCACTCAGGAGGCCCCGGCTGCTCTTCCCAGCCTGCAATGTGTCACTGCTGCTGCTGCTCATGGAGGGGTAGCTAGAAGGCTTGCGACGGTTGGCCCAATAGCTGGCAAAATCACACCAAGGACTACTGTACAAGTGAGCCGGGTACATGACATAGTCAGTGGGGAAGGCAGAAGGCTCTGGAACTGCTGAGAGCTTCAGTGAGATGGGCTCCTCCTGAGAGAATCTGACTGTGGAGACCTCATCCACATCGGACCAGTCACTTCCTGAAGAGGTGTGCTCTATCACCACCTCCCTTTCTTTAGGCTGCAGAAAAGAAGCAACAAAGGGTTAGCCTTCCTGTGTGAAGACAGCCTCCCACACACTGTCATCTAGAGAACATAAGCTCTGGCTTGTTTTTTGGCCATGGTGAAGGTTTTGCGTTGGCTCATTTAACTTACCTGTCACCTAGATTTCTTATTATTTCCAGAAAGTGAGCCAGGTTATAGCTATGAACAGTCAAATCAAGGATAAACTCATAATGCCATCCCTAAAGGGGATGCTGTATCTGCACTCTTTCTGAATGATCCCTCTTAAGAAAAACTGCTCTGTGTATTGGGGATATTAGAAAAAAACAGTGCCAGGAATCTCATCTCTAACAACACATTTCTAATACATTCAAAATGCAAAACCACACAGTTGAACCTACAACCTGGGAATGTGCCCTGACCAGGAATTGAACCCACCACCTTTTGGCCTATGGGACAACGCTCCAACCAACTGAGCCACACCAGCCAGGGCCATTTTTGTGTTTGTTTGTTTTTAACATTTTTTAATTGATTTGAGAGACAGAAAGGGAGAGAGAAAAAAAATCAACTTGTTGTTCCACTTATTTATGCATTCATTGGTTGATTCTTATATGTGCCCTGACTAAAGATCAAACATGCAACCTTGGCATATCAGGACGATGCTCTAACCGACTGAGCTACCTGATCAGAATTTCAGTTGTGGCAGTTTTAAGATGTGTCTGCAAATTCTGACACTACTCCCCATTGAAAGATGGTGGTCTGTCCTTGAACCTGGGCCTTACTGACTTACTTGTAACCAACCGAGTGCAGTAGTGAAACCTCCAAGGGTAGGTCAAGCTGTAGCTTCCCCTGGTATCTCTCAGCTTGCTCCTCTGGGGGAAGTCAATCACCACATAAGAAATCATACTGCCCGCCCTAACCGGTTTGGCTCAGTGGATAGCGCATCGGCCTGGGAAGGGTGCCAGGTTCGATTCTGATCAAGGGCATGTACCTTGGTTGTGGGCACATCCCCAGTAGGGAGTGTGCAGGAGGCAGCTGATCGATGTTTCTCTCTCATGGATGTTTCTAACTCTCTATCCCACTCCCTTCCTCTCTGTAAAAAAACCAATAAAATATATTTTTTTTTAAAAAGAAAAGAAATCATACTGCCCAAGACCACTGCTAGAGAGGGTCATACATAGGTACCAGCATCAACTGCCCAATGTGTGAGTGAACTTTTTTTTTTTTAATTATTTTTAGAGAGGGAGGAAGGCGGAGAGAGAAACTTCAATGCCTGACTGAGGATCAAATCCACAACCTAGGTATGTGCCCTGACAAGGAATTGAACCCATGACCTTCCAATGCATGGGACTATACTCCAACCAACCAAGCCACACCAGCCAGGGCTTTTTTTTTTTTTTTTTTAATCCTCACCTGAGGATATGTTTTTATTGATTTTTAGAGCGGGAGAGAAAAACATCAATGTGAGAGAAACATCGATGGGTTGCCTCCCATACACACCCCAATCTAAGAATCAAACCCGCAACCTAAGGATCAAACCTGCAACTTAAGAATGTGCCCTGACCGGGAATTGAACCCAAAACCTTTTGGTGTACAGGACAATGCTCCATGGCTAAGCCACCCAGCCATGCTCACTCTCTCCTTAACAGCAATAAAAGTTTATCTGGGTGTAAGTCTGCTCAAATGGAAGTTAATTCTCCAGACTCTCTTGCAGTTAGGTGTTGGCCAGGTTTCTAGATTTTTGTCAGTAGATATGAGCAGATACTATGTGGACAACTTCTGAGCCAAGCTCTTAAAAGGGAGGGTGTGTACTTTCTTCTTCTATTCTTCCTCTTAGCTGGACTGATCAATGTAATGTACTGAGTCCTTTCAGAGCAGTCATCTCAGACCACAGGACGGAAACTGCTGAGGAGCAGCAGAGCATCAAGACAGAAGGCACCAGGGTCCCTGACACGGTGGAGTCATCCTCCTCAAGCCAAACTTCTATTTAATTTAAGCCACTGTTATTTTGGGTTTTGTACAGCAGGCAAATCCATATCTTAACAAACATATAAATTCCAAAAACAGAAGATAGCACTAATCTGAGATTTCTTAATAACTCTAAAAGGTATTTTGGAAGAGAACCATCAATTTGTTGCCTGGAATCCTGAGTAAGTAAAGCATTGCTTTAATGAATAACAATTAGGCTCAAACCAGAAAGAGCAAATACTACATTTAATCAAGAGAACTAAAAACCCCCATTCTTGGCATCAGCAAGACTCACCTTGTGGCTTTCTGAATGAGAGTCAGAATCATCCAAAAATTCTAGGGGTGGAGAGCGCTTGTCAATAACTGTCCTTCGGTCACCAAGTGGCTCCTCACTGGGTTTCTCCTGAGGGTCTATCACCACTCTCCTGTCACAGAAGCTGCTTCTCTCCAGCACAGCCTTTTTTTCCTCTTTCACTCTGACCTCTGGGGTTGCCTCCTTCTCTTTCTGAGGAGTAGACACAGTGACACTCCTGGCTGGTCCTTCTCCACGGTTGGGACGATCTCCTGTGTTTGGTTTTGCCGTAGTGGCAGTCTCGCCCTTCCTTTTTGGCATTGACTTTCCCAGAATGCCCTGGATAGCCTTCAGGTAGATCATTGTAGAGCCTTGGTCTCGAAGTCTATCCCTCTTCTTTTTCTGAACCTTGCTTGGTTCCTCAATTTTATCATTTTGACCCTCAGCTTCAGCTGCAAACTCAGAGTTCGTGGAATTACGAGAACTATCTTTGGAATTAACCTGGAAGAAAGCACAGATCATGAAAAGATCAGTTCATACATGAAGCACTTGGCAAATTAAACACCAGTGGCACTCCACCAATCAAAGGGAAAGTGATAGTGGCCAAGACAAAGATTCTCTTCGAGTGATAGTTTCCATCCCACCCACTGTAAAAGGGACTGAACTGCCGCTATTTCTTTTTCTCTTTTTTTAATCCTCACTCAAGGACATGCTTTTCTATTGATGGGAAGGGGATGGGGAGAGGGAGAGGGAGAGGACATGCTTTTATATTAATGGGAGGGGGAGGGGGAGGAGTGGAGGGAGGAGAGTGACATTGTGAGTGTGAAATATCGATTGGTTGCCTCCCACACACACTCCAACCAGAGATCAAACCTGCAACCCGGGTACGTGCCCTGACCGGGAATCGAACCTGCCACCTTTTGGTGCACAGGTTGACACTCCAACTGAGCCACACCAGTGTGCTGCTATTTCTTAATGTTCACTTTCTCACACTTATCAGACAGCATCCGCATACTGCAGTAGGAAGGCATGAGCTGAGAGAACAGTCTACTAACACTAGCTCCTTAAGAGCAAGGACTACCACATACTTCAGAACATACCCAGGCAAAACAAAAGTTTAACATTTTTGTACTGGAAAGGTCCCCAGAAACCAGATGACCCAATCCCACAACGAAGAGTGAGGGAACCACGGGCCCTGTGAAGAGTGAACGTCAATCTTCTGACTCCTGAGGGCAGTGTGCTTTCTACTATACCCCCGGCCTCCTTGAAGTTCTCTGCAAAATCCTCCCCCCAAATCAAAACCTTGGTTTTGAAAGGTACCTTGGTTCCAGGGTCAATCAAGAGACCTAGCCCCTCACCCCAAATCTCCTCAGAGATGAAAGTAAAGTCTCAGCCCCTTTCTTCTCTTCCTCTCCACATGCAGCCATTACAGAGTCCACATGAAATAAGCTAAATTACTTGCTCACAATATTAATTTGCTGTGACACTCAGACCTAGTCTAATCCCAGCCTGGTGTAAGAATGCTCCATAAATCTTCCCTGAGAACCATCCCCAAAGCAGTGCACTCCAAACACCCCACTTGTGACCTGTCCCAAGGCAGTCTACAGCTCCTACAACTTGTACTTCTAATTCACTTGCATTAAATTCCTCTCAAACAATTAGTAAGAAACTCCACACTAAACTTGCTAGTCCTTTTCCTCTACTGAGGAAAAGTAGAGTCCATGCAAGAAATGTCCATCAATAAGGATTGATTAAAGTAAACAAATACAACTTTTAAAAAGAATGAGGGAGCTCTGATGTCCATGCTATACAGTAACTAACAAGCGCAACATATAAATTCACATTTGAACAAACAAAAATGCCTTATATGTATATATTTGCAAACAAAATCTGAAAGACCAATTGTTTCTTCTAATGGCTATCTTTGGGGATTAAGGGGAAAGAGGAAAAAGGGGCTTTAGCTCTTACTTTATATGCTTCTTGTATTATTTGAATTTTTCCCCCCAAAAAAGCACATATCTTTGTTTAAAAAAAATAAACCTTTGGAAATACAGGGTGTCCCAAAAAATGTATTCACTTTGAATAATTCACTCCAATAGATTAAATCTGAAAGAAAGAACATCAATTGAGCTATCAGCTGTTAATGTGTATACATTTTTGGGACACTCTCTATATAAATCTAAGTATTAGTAGAGGCATAAGATTTTTTTCCCTCAAAGTACTTAAATTGTTGGCAGCCATTAACTTTGGGAAGATGAACAGGAAAGGTGACTTACTTTCATTTTGAATCTCTGAATTTTCTAACACATTAGACATTTTTAAATAATGTCTACAGGGGTTATTTGGGAAAGGAGATTATGGGCCATTTTTGTTTTAATTATACCCTTCCTTATTTAGGAAAATCTAATAATATTAAAAATAAATTTGAAGGTTCCCTGGGCCTACCCTACAGGACACAGCTATACTTCACAGCCCACTTCACTACCAGCTTCTGTGACTGCCACCAATCACTTGCAATCCTGGGTCCATCGTGCCCTTTTATACACTGTCACTGGCACATCTTATTTCCTCTGCTTGCCATACCCTTGCCTCAGTCTCATTTTATGCTTTAAGGCCCCACACCCCTTCTTTGATTGCCCCACCTCTGCCTGTGGGAACAACTGCCCTTTTCTTTCTTTAAAAAAATATTCTATTGATTTTTTTATAGAGGGAGAGGGATAGAGAGTTAGAAACATCGATGAGAGAGAAACATCGATCAGCTAGCTGCCTCCTGCACACCCCCCACTGAGGATGTGCCCGCAACCAAGATACATGCCCTTGACTGGAATCAAACCTGGGACCCTTCAGTCCGCAGGATGCTCTATCCACTGAGCCAAACCGGTTAGGGCACAAGTGCCCTTTTCTTGCCCCCCCAGGCCAGGTGTAAAACAACATGGAAGACGTGGTCTACAGCAAACTGAGGAGCCCCTGTACCTTCTGAATGGCCACAGCTCCTCACCTTAAGCCACCTGTAGCCAGTTGGGAGTACAAACCCAAAGTTATAGATTCTGGTTTTTCAAGAAAAACAAGAAATTTCAATTTAATGTATTTTTCATCCAGTCAACAAGTATCTGTTGAGCACTTACAATGTGCCAGTAGGCACCGTTCTGATCTGGGGTTTAGCCTTCAATAAAACATACCAAAAAATGCCAGCTTCTTGGAGTTTATATTCTAGTTGGTGAGGGAAAGGAAAACCAGAGGAAAAGCAGTATATATTAGAGAGTAAAAAGTGCCAGGGAGAAAAATAAAAGAGGAAAGGAAGTAGAAAGTGGGGAAGGGAAGGTCGTCACTAAGTCTTGAGTTCGAGGCAGAGGTTTGAACTAGAGGCGTGCGTGTGTGCGTTTAAGATTTTTTTATTGGCTTTTAGAAAGAGAGGAAGGGAAAGGGAGAGAGAGTCCTCAAAAAGGCACATTCCCTGACCGGGAATCAAACCAGCAACCTTTTGGTACATGGGACCATGACCAACCAAGCCACACTGGAGCTAAAGGCATATATTTTTAATGTGAACTCCCCAAAATTTTAAAATTTGTGAGGACCTAGCAGGCCACATTCAGCATATGGACCGCCTTTTGCAAACCATGGTAGAGAAGATCAGGATTGTACTTGTGGAAGTAAAAAAAAGGTAAGGGATATAATACCATAGTTTATATTTCCATATACTTAAAATTTACAGAGCTGCCCCAGTTGTTGCCCCTCCTTACAGAGAGGGACAGTGTCACATGAATTTTAAGTGGCAGAAGCAGGATTCAAATTCAAGTTCCCCCTAACACCCTGGAAACCAAGGGAAAATATGAAAGTTTAGAAGCAGTATCAAAGGCTGAGATGTCAAAGGCCATGAGGACCTAAGATCAATGAGGAAGAGTTTCAGCAGTGGATAGGAGGCTATAAAGGTCAAGATTAGGCGGAAAGTACTAGAGCAGAGACAAACACCTGGCTTTGAAAAGGAGAGATTTAGACCTGACTGGGTGGCTCAGTTGGTTGGAGCGTCATCCCATACACCAAAAGGCAAAAGGTTGTGGGTTCAATCCCTGGTTGGGGTGCGTACTGTACAGGAGGCAAATGATTGATGTTTTTCCCTCCCTCTCTCAAATCATATTTTTCTTTATTTTATTTATAAAGTCACAGAAGTAGAAGTGACCTATAGAAAAAAGTGGGCTCAGGAAACAAGTTACTTCTAGAGGCAAAAGAAAAGACCCTTGGAGCTTAGGAGAGAAAAGAGTAAAGGTAAGTAGGGGCGGGGGGCGGGCGGGGGAGACCCAGGAAAGGCTCAGGTGTGCTCCAGCGATGGAGAGTGCCCAGCCTGAACATTTTCAAGAGTTCCTAACAAGCTTCCTGCCTACTACCTCCCATCGTTTCTCTACAATGAGCCAGAAGTTCTAAAACCTGGCAATGTCACACCTCTGCTTAACACCCTTCAATGGTTCTGCCTTTGCCTACAGAATGCACCCCAAACTCCTGAGCATGACATTGGAAGCCCTTCCCAGGCTGCCCCCCAACCTTTCTTTGCCGCATCATTTCCCACCTTTCTTCATATAGCCAGGTGCCTGGGGAATGAAGAAAGATGCTGGAGAAGAGGGGAAGGAGGACCCACAGGAACCAGTAATGTCCCCAAGCACTGCAGACCAGCAGTATTTCCCGACACTTTTTGGACACACATTATTCCTGTTGCCTGAAATAGCCTTTCCTCCTCCTTGTCCACCAGAACTAAAATGATACCTCTTCTACGAGAACTTTCCCTGTGACTTGTCACCCATTCCTTTGACCCTTGGTACTTCAAATATTGCTGTTACAACACTCCATGCACTGCACTATGATGAAGGCTTTTTTCAGTCTGTCTACCATTGCCTTATTCTTTGCACATCTAGCCTCTAAAACAGATTTCCACCCAAGCACTGGACATCTGCTGAGGGAATATGCAGGAAATGGGTCACATGCTAAGAAAGCTTTAGCATTCAAGATCCAAGGTACACAATGGTTTCTTTCTTTTCTTTTTTTTAAAATATATTTTTATTGATTTCAGAGAGGAAGGGAGAGGGAAATAGAAACATCAATGATGAGAGGGAATCTTTGATTGGCTGCCTCCTGCACGCCATCTACTGGGGATCGAACCCGCAACCTGGGCATGTGCCCTTGACTGGAATCGAACCCGGGACCCTTCAGCCCACAGGCCGACGCTGTATCCACAGAGCTAAACCAGCTAGGGCCACAATAGTTTCTTGTGTCTGGGCTGTGTCACCTTGCAGAGAGCACCACAGGAGAAGGATCTTGCCCTCTTCATCTCTCCATCCCTCACATGTAATGCTGGGCCAGGACAGAGCAGATGCTCCAGAGGGCAGCAGTGGAGAGAACCCTGCCTTTTAAGCCAGTCTGATCTGGCATTACACCACAGCTCTGCCGCATACAAGCTGTATGGACCTACTTAAGTTATTTAACCTGAGTCTCATTTTCCCAGTGCCTTCACA